CTGAAATAACTAAACACCACAAACAGAAAGGCTTATATGTAATTGAAATAAATGTTCAAATGTTCCCCGATGATCTTCTGTCAAAATTCAGTTTTTTCTGAAAATAAGTCATGAATAAACGGTGCAACAAAAAATAATAAACAACCTAATATTTCTTGTATGTTGTGAGTAGATCTATTCATATCACGTTAAAAATGTACGTAGTGCAGAATTCTGACCCTTCTGACTCATTTGCGTGAAAGTTCAATCTTCATTATACGATTGATAGTGATGAGTTTGTCGCTATTCTCAAGAAAAACATATGTTGCCCTACCAGTACTAACTCCCAGATGGATCATCAATACATTTGAAGAACGAATCTGACTCAGGGTAAATTGTACGAAGGTGGTCAATCGCACGATGAAGATTGAATTTCCTTACAGGTCGTGTAATCTATCATTATTATTAATTATGAACTATCGATGATATTTTTCAGTCAATATAACTATAATACATTTCGCTTCAATATTTAGGGTTTTCTCTCCTCGTTTCAGCCGTTTCTATATAAAATGAGAATATGAGTATTATTTCAATATACGAATCAGATAATTCGCCCCAAAATTTCACTGCATTCAAAAAAATATTTCCATCAGAGAGCCAAAAAGAAAAGCCAATCCTTTTTCAGTGACAATTTGTTTCGAAAAATGTTTGAAGAAACATATAGATATATTGAAAACGTATCGAATCTTTACTTATCTTTGGACGTTTCGCTTTCGATATGAGAATGTAAAATATTATTCTCTGCATGTTGTCATTTCATAGTATGACGCTTTTGAGTGGCAGACTGATGTTGCCATATGAATGAGTGATGTCAGCATACAAATGATTTACATGATGTTTTCATTGATTGATCTTGAATCTACCATTTGTATGTTCTGTTTTCAGTAGTGAATTTACCATGTTCTACCTATATCGAGTGAACAATGCTATTGTCTCCGTTCAGAAGAATGCAAGCAAATAGTCACTGACAAACGATTGGATTTCTCTTACAGGCTCTCTGATAGAAAACATTTTCAAAAGCAGTGACCTTTTGGAGCCAATCATCGGATTTGTCCTACAACATGTAAATATAAATAACACTGAGATTTTTATTTTATGGAAACGAGGAGAGAAAATCCCAAATAATCAAGCAAAATGAATGCACCACCTCATCCATTAAACTACAAACATTATAAAACATTATATAACTATAATACATCTGATTCTGCAAAATTATCTCTCGTAAAAAGAGGCATATTATAGAATTTCGCGAGTATGACTTCTCCATTCATCCAGCAGTGCTTTCAATACATTCAATGTTTGCTATTACTAGCATCAGAAAATAATAATGGTGAAGGCGATGCTTTGACGCTATGAACTTTGGGAAAACGTATTCTGAATTGATCTGAAACTTCTAGAATATAAACTAATATGTTATATTGCGGTTTTCCATATTTTTGTGAGGAGAAATCCAATTTAGTATTCATTTTATTTCCATTTGATTCTGATTTGATTTGAATTATTCATAGAAATATGTTTAATACAATTCATATGGATTATAAGATCATAACATTACACCCCACCAGAAGGACAGAATCCACCTAAGCAAGTGAACGCTTGTGTCGTGGTGTTCTATGCGTCAGTGTGGAAATAAATATAATAATAATCAATATTTTGAGGCGAGTGTAGCTCACATTTTACCCACTAGATTGTAATATAGAATATAAAATCAATAGGATGGAATTCGAAATCGGAAATAGAAAAAAAGGGATGAATAGGAAAAACGAATTGAGTTTCTCAGTTATAGTCAGAGTCTCAGTGACATACATTTTGATTTTCAATTTGTAACTGGTAATTTTCATGATATTTTTCATTTCCAGGGAAAGCATATTGTACAGTCTAGGCCCATAATAATAAATGAACCTTTGCGTACGACTCTTCTTGAAATTAGGAATTTTGATGGATAGATTTTTCACCGATCGTGCCAATGTCTTGCCTTTTTCAAACTTATTCTTGTTATCAAACATCCACAAAAGACATTGATATGAATACAAACCTCTGATATTCAGGAGCTTTGTATCTTTGTAAAGTTGTTCTGTTGAAAAAATCCTAGGATTTTTGGAAATGATCTTCAGAATGGAATTTTGTGTAGATTGAAGCCGGTAGAGTGTATTGTTGTACATTCCGTCCCAAACAGTTATACAGTATTTAACACGTTGACTGCCGCAGTACATGAAAAGTTTTGGCTCCCATGGGCCATTTTTTTATTATGATGGATTATGATTGAAACCATTGTACTTCTTCAGGAAATATGTGACATATGTGAAAAAAACATATATTTCTGAATGTATTCCAATTTTTTCTGAAGACACGATATATGTGCCTCGTGGCCCCAGCATATGTATCTTGTAGTATCGGGCCGTGAGGCACGAATGCTATACCTTCAAATGTGTGTGGTTTGTTACGAGAAACTGGCACAAGAAGAAGGAACGAACGTAGCTCAGCGCTAAACTCCTAGGTCTATGTACCAATGTACTGCTTGTGAAAGAAATTCCTGCGTAACATGTTTTTTCCAACACCACAAGACGACATTGTTATGAAGAAAGTTGTCATTTATGAAAGTTTGGCATCCCAATGAGAAATTTTCGTATTCTTTTTTCATTATTTTTGCATTTTTTCAGAAGAACCTGTTCATTTTTCATAAGCACCTATTGCATGAGTGAAATATTCATGTATTTTTTGAAGAATAATATATGTATCCATTGTGCATATGCTTGGTAATCCATTTTTTCAAAATGTTTTTGAGAATTTGGGTCCCTTGCGCCACGAAGATTGTGATCACATGCTAATATATACGCTTCAAGGCACTCACGATGTACCATGAAATTTGAGAGAGTTGACTGATATAAGGCATAAATAGAGGGCCTTGAACCCTAAATAGCCGAAATGGCAAGGCACATACCTAGTGCCTTGTGGCAGTCAACGTGTTAAGGCCAGATTTTGCTAGTGAATTATAGATGATGAATATATTCTTTCTGTCAAAAATCAATACTCTAGTACACAAGCTCCACAAATTTCTGACCTGTGATGAAAAAATGAAATTTCAAGAACAGGTCGATTAAAAATTATTTCATAATAGATACGAATATAATGATTAGTCCCCACCAATAGTTTGACCTCGGTGTAAAATAACAATGGAGGTAACCCAGAGATAACAAAGCTAAAACGTATGCTAGAGCTTATATGGGAGTATAAGGTGAATGTGCAAGATAGCTGCGGTGACTTGGCTGAGGACTATACCTGAGGATCCTAGGATATCTTGTAGCTAGAGAAAAAAAACTATTGAGTTTTCGAAATCAATGTAATATACCGTGTACCAAGCCCCATCAGAATATTTCTCGGAAAAAAAAATTATAGTAATAAGTAACTGATTTGGTAGTGGTGCCTTCCAATCCTTTCATCCTATAAGATGACTCAATGGAGTTACTGCAACGAGGTTGATTAATGTTTGGCCAAATTGGGTGGCTTTCTACGACTGAGAATTCTCATTTATTTCCCTTGGGCGCACGGAAGGGCATCCTTACAATGTTCGGAATAAATAACCAATTGACATGATGTGTCATCACGCTGGATTATTGATTATTGATCATGCAACGAACATTTTCCCTATTTAATTTTTATGTAGGTAGGGATTCCAAATCTGAAGTTGATTTTCTCCGAACGTTATCGAATTGATGGTTAAAGTTCATCATAACAACGGATATCTAGCATATTGGTAACTGATTTATTATTAACTTATAGACTTCGAATCTAGTCTCAATAAGGATATCATCGATCTCACTGATGTACTCGTCGTTAAGAACTGTAATTAATTGTTGTGTCTGCATCGAAACGAGATAATTAAATTTTTTTCGTCGACCTAGACTTCACATGCACTGGAATCATCATAATAGACGACTTGAAATATAAACAAATACATTTTTTTAGGACTACTCGCATCGTTCTTCATATCCTTAAGAAGTACATATAGACTGACTGACTTTGCCAAAGCATTTGACAAAGTTGACCATGACATATTGCTGAAAAAAATAGTCTCCTTTGGAGTAGGTGATGTATTATTGGAATTGTTTTCGACATAATTTGCGGAATTTGTTGGATTTGAAGGAATAAAGTCCAAATCCTATTTGGCTGAGTCAGGAATACCACAAGGGTCAAATTTGAGATCTCTTATTTTTCTATTATTCGTCAATGACTGACCTTCTGGAGTAACATTCTAGTGCTCACTCTTTGCAGATAACTTCAACATTTCCTTAAGAATTGAGGATCTAAATGATTACTTTCAACTTCCAAATGATATTGATTGGTCCATGTATGAATAATAGACTGTGCTTCAACATTGCCAGATGTGTTATCATGACTTACAGTTGACAAAGTAATTCGAGTTTTTGTATCTACAATATAGGGAATGTAGCTCTGAATGGAGTGAGTGAAGTGATGGACATTGTTTTCTCTCCCAATCTTAGTTTTCAGTCACACATTCAAATTCTCTCTCTCTCATACAAATTCATTTTTCTGTAAATGAAAGCATCATTCGTAATTTTTTTCTTTATTTTCCTATCCCATTCCGATTATAATGATTATCTTGGAAATGTGCTCGTAGTATACTGAAGTACCTATAGGATTATTTTTCTGTATTCCATTTTTACAAGTAGATACTGTAAAAAAGAGTTTATAAGCTTGTAGCTTCAACTCTTGAAATCCAACGAAGAAATTAATAAATAAAACTATACAACTATGTTAATTGAAGCATATAATATCAGATATGATGATATAATTCAAAGTTGAATATCCGGTTCCCAATTCAAGAAGTCAATGTGTAGATAAGAAGTTTTCAATGATGTAAGCACTAACTCCAAAACTAATTCGTTGATATTCGATAACGAATTTGTTTATAAATGTTCTCATGCATCTCTTTTTATTCCAGTTATGAGAATCAGTTATTTGATGACTGAATGAATACTTAGGCTATTCTCATGACAAGATTTATCTTCCAAATTGTACCCTCATGATTGAATCTGAACTAACCAATATTTAGTGAGTGTGTAATTATATCAGTGAGAAGTGTGTATTTAAATCAACAAAAGGTAAGTCATAGAGTAATTAAACATAACTAAGATTTTAGAATAAAAATAAATATTTCTTGAGTTTCAAATCATGACAATTTCATGGACACAATAAAAAATATTTGAATTCCTCCAATCAGAAACTGTTATATTATCTCATCCTGAGATTACCTACGTCGTTGCGAAATACATCATGATTGATAAATTTCCTACGCAATTATTATGTTTTCAAAACAGTTGGATTATTATGAAATCCCATGAAATCGGTAGCATTCTACTTAATTTGCTCTTGTTGATGATATCTGATGAGTGTAGAGAATAAGAATATATGAATATGTCTTGTATCTTCCTTGCACGGTAGTATCGGTAGTCAATGAGGAATTATTGTAATTGTTATTTTTATTCTATTTTAGTACTTCTTATAGTAGGTATCAACTGATACCTGATTCGTCATTGATAATACCTGAAAGTCGTATCGACGTTTGATGGTTACAGAATTGACTTTCCATTTTTCATAGATATTATGTTTCCTCTCATTATATTTTGCTGTTACTCTCGGAAAGTTACTCTCCTTTGATGTGACAGTATGCCATACAGGGGACCTTACTGAAAAAAACAGTTTTTTGTGTGACTGGAAAGAAGTTTAACATTTCATCTCGCTTGACACTACTGTAACTTTCTGAGGGTTTTTCACCAGCTTTCAGCAACAAAATTGTCTCGGGGAAAAGTGCTATCTGTATCCGAATTTCGATGAATGTTCTCCAAATTATGTTCTCGCTGGGCAAAATTTACCGGTCCCCAAAATCTGCCGCCCTATAGGCTCCAGCCTACTCAGCCTGCTGGTTTCGACTATACAGTCATCATCAGTGCGTATTACGTACTCGTCAGGCGGACAAGAATATCATCCATAAAAATTTATCCCTGGTACATTTCAGAAATATGTAAATTATCGCTTATTACAGCACAAATATATTGAAATTTGAGTCTCAAACTGTACAATCGTGTGTATATAAGTGCAGACAGCTTGGAAACTTCCACTTCAGTGGTATATTTTATATATTTTCTAAAAAAGACTATCATATACCCATCAAATTTCAAAGTTCGAAATTGTGACTTCGACCAATTCTAAAGTAACAGCAATCGTCTTTTTTGTATAGTTCTGGGATATTTTTAGGTGAATTTGGCATCATCGAATTATGGCTGATATGGACGCAATCACTGACTCATTATAAAAATTACTCGTGCATTCGAATCATTCAATCTATCCTATGAATTATCCTGTTGGAAATCTGTAGGATATAGTTCTTCTGCAATGCAAATAATCTATTTGAAGAATCTTCTGTAGTAGTCCATGCTCAAAGTGGATAGTGGAATGATCAATAGAGAAAAAACCCAAAGTCGTCTCCATAATTTTTAATGTATAATCAGGCAGTCAATCCTGCTTCATTAAGGTTGATACATGTTTCGGCCATTCAAATGGCCATCTTCAGTCAAAAGAATATAACAAAGTGTATCTACAACCAAACCAAACATGATTTTATATAAGAAAAATTGAAAATGGAAAAGACAGCAGTTGTAAATTCAAATTGAATTGATTAACAAATTTCAGTTAGATCATAGAGCAACAGTGATTAAAAATTGTGGAGACGACTTTGGGTTTTTTCTCTATTAATCTATTTGAATTATCGCAATAATATGTCAAAAATGCCTACCCTGATGGTACGATCGAGACATCAGGTACTTACTTACTATATTTTCTGAATTCCATTGGCACATTATATGCTCTCAGAGATGCCAGCGATGATTCACTTTGCAGATGTTCAGAAATTAAATAGGATTCATCGATGAGAACCTTCTCCATTCGATAATATTATGGTTACATTTTCTGATGCCTAATTTCAGGAACCAAAAAAAGAGAAAAATATGTACATATTCAAGAAAGTCAATTTCCGATCTACCATTCGAGATAATTATCTCTAATCTTCACGTAAAAATAACCTTTTCTCAAAAAATAAAATAACGGTAAATAAATAAGTCATGAACAAGTATTCTTGCGATGAATCACCAATCAAATCATCTTTTTCAAATGATGGGTTTGAATAGATAGGTACGTGATTATTCAACGTCGTTTTTTTTTCTTCAGCAATTGATATACAGGCTGTGAATAAATAAATTGGAGAATATTCAGGAAATGATTTCTCTTCATGTCTTAGAAAAAATAACATGTGTCCTTACTTTCTCCATTTATGAGATACAAGATGTTGATGTTAGTAGTATTAATTGTTCCTTATAGGTATTTTCCCCATGAATATCAAGGACCATGGACTCATTATTATTATCATTGCAAATATAACATGAATATCAAGGTTACCCACTGCGACATTACTGTAATTATTATTGCGGAAATGATAACATCAAGAAAGCTTCATACTTGTTACTATTAACAGGAACATCGAGTTTTATTGAAATTGGCAAGAACATTTGACTAATTATTACACATGTTTGCATGAAATTAGTATGAATAAAGTATTTTCTCTTTCAGTACCTAAAATAAATGACGAGAAGAAAACATCACCGTAAGGCAAAATCTACGACCAAAGCCATGGAAACGCCAAATGATTCTTCCCCGACAACAAGTTCTGAATTGAATTTTAGGGATTCCGTTGATTGTAGTGTGCAGACTGAATATTCATGTATGTTTTTTTGAAATAATGAAAATGTGTATAGGTATGAGACTGAAATATAAGACTTATCTAGACAACTCTATTATGATAAGTAAGGAATTATCTTGTAATGACAAACATTGGGTTCGATTTGCAAATGCCCATAATTATTTTCAAGGACAGCTGTTACCGCGGTATTTCATATAGTGTATCTTCAAAGTAACATATTTACGCCTTTTTTTACAGAATGACTATAATGACGTCAAAATGCTGAAGTCACAAGACGTCATATTTATATGTTGAAATAACGTATCAAAATCACCTTCGGTATTTATACGGTATTATATAGGTACGCATCACAAATTTCTGATTAGATTCATTGGTACCTTTACTGATTCCAAACATTATCGTGGTGACTTGGTCCATATATTATGCCCATTATGGTCCCTTCAGGATGTCCTGTTTGATCCTGGTATGCTATCATTGGTACGCATCTCTATATTATGGGTGATCAGACTAAAAGTAGTTTGCTAACAGTGTAAAAAAAAATAGCGAATATAGTTTCACGAGAAATGTATATAACAAACTTTGTCTCTCAGAGGAAAGGATATTTGACGTGGAACATCAATATATATTAAATTAACGTATATCGTTATTATGTAAGTCGTGTTATGATCATCAGATACTTATACACCCAAAGGTCACTTTGCTAACTTGGTTGTTCAATACTTGCATATTGGTGGATTTTCAATTTCGTGGATTTTTGACGTCCTGCATGAGAGTTCATGAAGTTTACAATATAGTTCGTGAAAAGCGATTTATAATACCTCATAGAACACAAATGTGATGTTAATTTTTAACGATACATATATGATGAGGTTGTGGTTGGTACCAGATTCATTGAATAAAGTACTTTACTTTTTTGATTCCTCCAGATAACAACTCTGCATACGCTAAAAATCAGTAAAGAACAAACTCATGCTCATAAACACGCCACAAGAGCTTCTGATCTCCTGTGATTATATTTAGGATGGTTGCTAATTTTTTCCTGAATCGGAACTCCGCAGTATTCCATCGACCTGTTCTCATACATATTGCACGAATTCTGCTCCAGAGTTACATTATATACAAGGTGTTTCATTAATATTGCCCAAAACTCCGAGGTCATAATTTTGAGTCAAAATAAGAAAAAGGACAATAGTTTTTTGCACAAACAATACCACCCAGTAAATTTCCTAAAATATTCACAATTCTTTCAATTGAAGCAGCTGAAGAAAACATATTTTCAGTCCTTTAGATTTTTCGTACCTAGCCGCGTTTAAGGATTAACAAAATGAAAATCAAACCTATGCATGTGAAACCAATGAGAGAAAAACTATAATAATCGAAATCTACTTGCCCGTTTACCAAATCAATCATATAACCATGGCTCATGAAAATTTGGAAATTAATGAAAGATAGGGTATTTTCAAAAACTTGAGCACCGTGTATCTCGGAACCATATCGTGTTCGGACATAATATGTGTATATAAACTTCTTTTCTTATTTCGACAAAAAATACGACCTCGAAGCTTTGTGCAATTTTAATGAAACACACTTTATAGTCTGGAGAATGTACAGAGTGAGCCAATTGCCTCATTTGAAATGAACACTCCCCAGCTAGTCACATTAACGCGAATGATGTCTATATGGGACCGCTTATTTTGGTAATTTATGGTCCCGTTCGTGACTTGTCCAAGTCATCACGTCAGAAGGACGTCGTTTTTCACATAGACGTCAATATCTGGTCACTATATCATATAGTGGCTTTTTTTGACCAGAGTTCCACCAGAGCTACTCTTGGGTTCCAATCTAAAAAGTTTACCCGTTCTTTCTGCGCACGGCTTTGATCTAGTGCAAGCATCCCCAGCGAGCACAAAAACATCTCAGAGATGTTAAAAGTACGAGATTTCGAGACATTGAACCTCCACTGCGATGTTCTGTTCACACATGAATAGAACTATTATAGAACAGCCAATGTCCGCCGCAGGTGGCAATTATCGAGATGTCCTTGATATGTCACAAAACTACCTTCTCCCTAGTTCTTTTTGGAGCCTTTTCATGGACACAACAGAACATTTTCAACGCGTCTTGCGCACATCAAATAGCTGTAAAAAAAACATTTTCGAGGTACTTTTCTGAAGCCTTTTGTCAAAATGACCTTTTGCATTAGGATTCCATTTCCCTTGAATGAAAAAATGCATCAAAAATAGATTGAACATAAAAATATTTTATTGATATGAAATTACCTTCTTAATCAGTTTCTGAGTAGTGCTTACTACACACAGACATATAATTGGAAATAGGTTTCCCAATTTCTGGAATGTTCTCCACAATGCATAATTTTGCAACTACGGAGAAGCTGTGTATTGATGAATTCGTACTTTTATATATTGATTCATCGTATTGTGACGTAAGCATGAGACGTTGTGGTGGAGCAAACAAAGAAAGGGTACAAAAGAACAAAAACAATACTTTCCATATCCTTTCAAGACCTCTTTGGGCAGTGCATATTACGCCTCACCCAAAACATCCCAGGGATACCTCTCAGTAGGCAAACAAAGAAATGCCACAGAAGAACAAAAACAATACTTCAATATCCTTCAAAGACCTCTTTGGTCAGTGAATATTACGTCTCAAAATAACATCTTCATGCCAACATCTTCAAAACATCCCAAAACATCCCAAGGATGTTTGTGCTCGCTGGGTCAAGTCTGGGAAAGTGACAATGCCGGGGTATTGGTAGTGGGCCGATGCTTTCCCTATGCTGAGTCACCATCAGTTGAGAATACGAAGATGACCTTGTTATGGTAGGATGTCGGAAACCAGTTGAACACTAACGAGTTGTGGCCTTTTGCTGATCAATATCCTGTTCACTACTGGTACCTCTGTTGGATGTTCTAGGATATTCAATGAACATCTGATCATTTGGATCATTATTATATTATTATGTGTATGTGACTCTAGTGATAGCGTATGTTTCGTTTCTCTCTGGTTTGTTGTCGAATTATTGTGCTCTCCACTTACCCTGGTAATTATTTATGATGGCAATGGCAGGAGTATTCTCAATGAAGAAGATGGATCCCTCAATTATAATAATATTGAGTAAGTATCAATCTTCTCATCTAGTGGTTTGAATTGCATTATGAAATGCTATGTGCTATGTGTTCGTTATTCCATAACTTCATACACCTAGTGATATACCTGTTCGTTTGTGTTTGCTGAACTTGCTATAGTTGATTTTGTTTCCATAGTTATCTCTGTTTATAGCATAATGTGAAATCATTGAAAAAAAAATCAAGTTTAGCAGGTACAGCATACACAAACTAACACGTTCAATAATTGAAGTGGCTCTACCTCTCCAACTATCATGTTTAACTCGTTCGTTGCTATCTTAGGTTATGTGAGCCGGTGTCCATACTCAATTATATAGAAAGTAGATGAAAATAAGGTTCCAACTACAGAAATGCCTGTGCCAAAAAAATAATGAGAATTGAAAAGCTCCGTATTTCGTTTCTCATACCTACTCTTATATAATATGTAGGAAGAATACTGATATCAAGAAAGGCCACTGATAACTCATGAAGAATTTTTTATTCCAGTATACCTACCTCTCAACGAATAATCCGTTCTGAAAGAATGATACCAAAAACATATGTAGATATAGATACCAGTCGGTAAGCAGTCACTCTTAGAAGTTTCATCATAAAAGAAGATAGAGGTTATAAGAAGATATAATTGTGTTATTCATGAATTTCCTTCTTAAAATCTGTATATGTGTTTGATATAATGAGAGGGTAACATTAAAGAATATATAGGCATATAATAGAGTGTTGTTATTTGTACCTCGTTCCTATGTTGCTGTCTTTACAATTTCTACTTCTTTTATCATGGTGATCAATATATATATATATATATTAAGATTCAAGAATGATAATTGCACGACAGATTCTGACAGAATGGATCAGAGTTTGTGTATGTGTGTTGGAAATCTGGCAACACGAATGCATAAAGAGGGCACAGTGCATCGCCGCGTCCGTCATAGCGCCCTCTCTAATAGAATTTCTTTGTGCGTAACGACGAGATGGTTCCACATTCAATATTATGTTTTGGTGTTTCGTTTTGATACACTGATTTTCGATCTTTTTGGTGATGTTTTCTGCTTCACGAATCGATGATAATGGAAACAACAGTGGCTGTTGTCCGGGAATAGTAGTTGACTCTTCTCATGACAGGATTGTTTTGCCACCATTCAAAGGACAGTCGAAAAAACGTGTCATGGGTGATGACCGATATCTTCATGAAATCATCGAACATCAAGTGCTTAAGTGAAATAAAGTCGGCTTTGTCGATTCTAAATATTCGTGAAAATGAAAACTAACTTGTTTCAAATGTTTTCAGTTTGAGTTGGCATTAGAGCTCTGGTCTAATTGATGTTATTTCTGACATGTATCAATATATCATTCAAAAACTTTGTTTACTCTCATTACATTCTCTCTCATTCAAGTCATGATTAGACAATCTTCAAAACGAGAAGTTTGAACTTGTTTTTTAAAGAATAGACTCCGCTATGACGTCCAAAACTAGTCAACAATGTCAGTTTCAAGTGGTTTCAATTCATAATGGGGGTTAACATCATTTTTTGCCCACCAAATTGCGCCACTGAAACGTGAGGTCTGAGTTGATAGCTATACTTCTTCTATTCATGTCAGTCGGCCTCTTCCTACGATATCTTCTTCTCCGTTAATGTAGGAATTGGTTCATAAGTTCCACATTGTGTGTAAAAACACGACTAGAACAGACTAGTCTGCCTATAACTTGCGGATTTCTATTTATTCAAATATTCTACTATATTTTCTCTAATATTTTCGATAAAATAAGCCACATTCTTCAGGGCTATCCGACAAAATTTCAGAATATTCGACTTAGACATTGACCCTACGTTTAGTAGCGCAGACTGCTGAGACTCAAAATGTTGGCTCTCATTGAACACCATATTGACGTCCAAGGTTTTGTCATTTTGCTAAGACTCACTCACGCCGTTTAGACGTCAGTTTGGGTAATATAAAAGACGTCTTTTGGCCGAATGTGATTCCGTCTTTTGGACGTCATATAGTCCCCATGTGCCAGCTGGGTCTGGAGCTTTTAGGGGAATCCGACTTATCCGAGGCGTGTGGGCGTGATCTCGTTTTTTGACCTTAGTTAGACATCATGCGTTGTGAATCTGTGGTTGTGGTAACTTGCAGTTGCATGCGTTGGCCTTCAGACTCATTTTCCAGCGACACGCAAACATCCATCCCTCAACGCACATTATAGCAACCCAACCAAAAAGGTCACAAAACTTCAGAATCTGCTCTTTCGAACAGCCACTTGCCTAGGACTCTCCGATATAAGCTTCAGAGCGCTTATGTTGAATATAAGCGGTATTTAGCCGCACCCTGTTCAATGGAGGGTACATGATATTTTTTCTTGTTTCAGTGCCCCAAACAAGGAACAAACTACATGGGATACAGAATCTGGAGTCCATTACAAGAATCACAAATTTTCCAGTTGTCGAATCCAGCTGGAGTTATGCAGGGAGTATTTACAAGAAACTCAAGGTAGGTATAGTTTATGCAAAGTCAGTTGGAAAACACATCACCGCAAGCCGTCGGTCCCTTTGGAAGTTCAAAGAGTGCTACAGCGTGACCCGACATTCGTTTGATGATCTATTCAACTGACTTTCCATAAACTTCACCAAATATATCTGTGATCGATTTCACTGAAGGCGGATGTCTATTTTTTGAGTAATATGAGCTTCCGAAACTTTGATACAAGATTAATTATGAGATCCAGTACATGAAGGAAGAATGAAAGTCTATCTAATAAAAATCAAGATGCTACCTAATGTTTTCAATCTGGGAGTCACATATGTTTTTCATTATAGACTATAGGGACATCATCCGCTACAGAAGATCGATTATAATTTCGGGTAGGTGTCCTCGAACATTCCACTGCACATATACGTACAATGGAAGAATAATAGACGTTGAAAATGGAAGTTCAGGACATCCAATTGATATCCAGAATCAGTCCAATGTGTATTCAATGGACGTCCCTTATACGTCAGGGACACTACTTTGGACGTACATGTTCAGTCCAGATGAGGTCCAATGGACGTACATTGTGCGTTTACATTACACGTCGATTTCATGTTCATATTGGGAGAAATGGATATCCAGAAAATATCAAAATGATATCCACTGTTAACGTCTAGTGGATGTCAACTAGTGGACGTCCAATGGTTGTTTATGATTGGACGTTCGGATGAGTTTCTGATAGAATACACTTTTCTTACAAGGACTACATTTCCATTTGGGATTGAAACGAAACATTATGGACAAGAGAATCAATCATTATATATATCAACATCTCAGTATCTTCTCGTACATCATATGTGCGCAGAATGACGTCCATGATGTGTACGTATGACAAATATCTATTTAATATCCATAGACGTTTCGACTTATCTGATACCTCAGCACAACTCGCTTGTGTTTATTGTTTGTGCCCCGTGTGAAGTGTTAATTTTCAGTTCTTCTATCTACAAAAATCTGTGTCAGGTCATGATCACAGAACGGGGGAAGTTTGTTATGAGTACCCAATCAGAAACCTTATTGGTTAATTTCAGAAGATACACTGGGGATGATCTGGATAAAGTAATGTGAAATTATAAGTGCTGCTTCTAAAAGTTGCGGTGTATGAAGGCCACCATTATTAGAACACCTATTCGAGTTATCAATTCATGAAAGTAGGTTATATTAGCATAATACTGATAAGTAGTGGCACTATCTTTGTGAATTTTGTAAAACTGTTTGTATATCGATACTTCGAAGTTGGCAACCAACTCCCCAGAAGTCGAAACTTGTGCGGATTTAGAAAGAGCGGAAAGGAAGCTTGAAGCGGATTCCTAACCACTTCTAGGGCGTCGAGGTGCTTCCAAGATCACAACCAAGAATCACATATTCTTAAGAGAAATGTTCATCCAATCCTGATTACAACCGACAGCACCTTATTGGCATCGCCAACGGCTGTCTAGAGATTTTTGCTCCTTGGACAGCTTAGATCCCGTGCCGTATTGTATACAGGATGTATCTAAATAACACCGAAAAGGGGTGATTCCTTGTGATATTTTAGGAAATAAAGTTCATATGAACATGTGTCCTAACTTGCTTCGTTTTCGAGATACAGGGTATCAATATTTCCATGAAAAATCTTTTTTATATTCATTCCTCAATTGTCTTCTCATCAGCATACATACTTTTCATCAATATCAATGAAACGTTGTGATTTTGTTAATAGTAATATGGAGCTTCTCCTAGTGCAATTAGATTCGGAATTATATCAACTGTGGCGTCAGAGTTGATATAATTGAGAAGTCGGGAATATACGAAATAAGTACATATAAGTACATATTACCAACCTCATATTAGTTAAGCAAGTTAATAATATTAGAAAATTAGACGCATATGAAAGCTTATAAATATTTGAGAATAGTAACAGAGCAATGAATAAGGATAATGGAGCATATAGCCCTCTTTATAGTTAAGTAATATAAAAAGCAAGATTAACATGTGAACTCAACCATGACAAACATTGAATTGACAGTCAGTATTTTTCACAGTTGGGTAAGCATATACCTAGTATATAAGCAGCACACTAGAATAGGATATTTAGTTTTAATCTTCTCCTGAAGATGCTAACATAGTTACACGTGTCGGGGCGTTTAAAAAATCGGTTTGGTTAGTGGTAGAACACTGTAGTGTATTATCGTGCCAAAGGTTCCAGTCTTCGATATATAAGAACAAAGCCATCCTCAGAAAAGGACAAAGCTTTCTTTATAGCATGCTTTCAATGATGAAAGTTTGAAAACACTTCATGAATGATAAAATGTTTCCAAAAATTCTCGAGAAATTTCACTGATACAGTGGCTTCTTCAGATGAACTATTTGAACAATCAACTAACATAATATTCGCGGTGGCCAAGTTCATAAGATGACGTGGCGATGATATTGAGAACTACGGGAAAACATCCTAATCCCTGGCATAGATTGAAAGTTAGAATTGTTTTCACGTAGTTTCTAATGTCATCAGATCGTCACCTGGAAAAAGGAAAGAAGCTGGCATGCACATTGGCATTCAATTCTTTGAATTTCTATGAGAAGCTGATTTCTGAATAATTTCTAACATAGGGTTTGTAAACAGCGCGTCTGTTAAATGCATTGCTCTCGTGAAATGGAGTCGCACTCTGTATACAGAATCTATGTGTGTCTATATAGTAGGAATCAGCTCTTCGTAAAGATTCCAATAATTATGTAATATACAGGGTGTTTTATTGAGAAAGGCGAATACTTTAGCTGCGGATAGGGGTCACTGAGGTGATATAAAAAACATCTATTGCCTGAGATACGGGATGTTTTATAAATTTCGTCCATATCTAGTATCTCATAATTTTCCAATGAACCTGTATATATTTTTGGGAATTGGTACACTTACTCAATCTACCCTGTCGATTAGAATCAGGCATCAACAAAAGATAGAATTCAGCTCCAGCTTTACATGTGATTTACAAATTCTTTCTGCTCGGAAACAACACCCTATATACATTATGTGCTCAAAATATTGTTTGATATCACCGCAGTGATCCCTATTCACAATTGAAATATCCATTTTCCCCAATGAAACACCTTGTATAGGGGGTGATGTTTCTGAAAAAATCGACGTGTTTCAGGAGATTCCTCAGAAATGAATAATTTGGCTATACAATGAAACGAACCCACTGTCTTCACTTCAATTCGTAAGATTTATGGGTTGCGAAGTATTAATCTCCGAATAAATACATTTTTTGTCAAATTTTCATTTTTTCATAAAATTCATAGTTTTTTTGAAACTGCAGTGAAAGCGAGAGAAAAATTTGGAATATTTTATTCCTGATGTTTGTGTGTGACCTTTGAGAATTCCCTGTCACAGTTTACTGAAACGATATACAGGATGAACTTATTTCCATGAAATAAACATTCAAAATTTTTCGAGAACGGTCCTCGATTTTTAATAAGTCAGTCGATTAGAGAGAAGTAGCGGAATATTCCATTTAAAAATCAGACGAATCGAAGAAGCTGTTGGAAAGTTATGACGAAAAGATGTTTTTGCCTAATCTCATAATTCATCCTATATGGAAAAGAAGTTAAGAAGACACTTTCTGATTGACATTCGGTATGTCCCCCAGGAGCTTCTATTCGTGGTAGGAGTATGTACAGTTCCTCATGACCCACCCTGTAATAAAAATGTAAGTAAGACAATAAGTCGATGTTGTGTTACTCCATTATATGAGTATTTCATCTGAAGAAGCTACTGTGCTGGCGAAAAAACGTGTTGTGTTTTTGAAGATTTTGTGAAAATCCTGATCTAATAATTGATCTGAATATTTGGATTTTGATCTTTAGGACAGCAATTCCATGGTACATTGGACTTTTGATACTGCCGAGTCATCAATTCATACTATTCTGGAAGCAGCTTCTCCTGCTATAATCCTCTTAGAAGGACCCATCAACTCACTGGACAAAGTTGTTTGTAGAAGTCTTGACATTGTAGAACAAGCTGTGCCATCTATCAATCTACCTCCAGAAATGGTGAGTGCTCAATTAAGTAATACCCAAATGGTTATAAATACAGTGTGTGCGATTTCAACCCGCAACAGCCTTTTAATCCGGAACCCGTTGACCGACTGACAAAAACAAAAATCTCATAATATAGTACCTACTCAACGAGCTCCATTCGAGAATGTGAACACATTTCAAATATTCAGATTTCAAAAGCCTACTTTTGTTTGTTGAAGGGGTTAAAATTTCAAAAACGACTACCAGGCAATTTTTTATCAAAACTGTGACAAGCCTATTCGATTCAGGCATACGAAATTTGAACTCAAAATCTAATATACGGAGTTAGTTATTCAATGGCGAATTTTGATATTTTCGAGTTTTTGATTCACTCTGTATCAAAATCTAAGGAGTTGATGTAACCGGTGAAGTAGTCATTCATTAGAGAAATACATCGGATACTTAGATACGAGGTTTCATCGTTGTAACTTCTATAGGAAGATCTCTCTTGGTCAACTACAAAATTATCAAAATTGAAGTTTACATTTTTTTCATCATCCATATATTATATAACAATTTCCATTATCATCTCAAATTTCCCTTTCATTTCGCCGAAATTCGTTGGAGAGTTTGTTTGTCATTCTATTTGTGTTATATTCGATAGTTCTTTATCAATCGAGATGATTTTCGAAGTGACTGTGTGGCGAAGTAGGTGAAAAATGGTTTACTTGAGTTTTCAAAATGGTGGACCTCTTCCTGTAGAAGTTACAACGATGAAATTTCGTACCCTAGTAATTTGATGTGTTTCTCCATTGAATGACTACATTATAAGTTATATCGATTTCTCAGATTTTGATACAAGCTGAATCAACAAATCAAAAATATCAAAATTTGTCATTGAATAACACCCTTCATGAGATTTTGCGATCAAATTCAGTATGGGGGTATTCAAGGTATGTCTAAATCGAATGGACTAGTCACTGTTTCGACAAAAAATTGTCTAACAGTCGTTTTCGAAATTTTGACTCATTCAACAATCAAAAGTAAGCCATGAAAATCTGAATATTCCAGATTTCTAAACATTTTTGAAAAGAGCTCGTTGAGTTCTATATTGCGAAATGTTTGTTTTTGAAAAACCGTAGTGTGAACCGAATACGAATTGTTCTAAGCAGAAAAAAGTTATTCTGATTTAACAGGGGCCGACATTTTTGGGTGCCACGAATTTAGTGCTGCGTAGTTTATTCACTCATTATTCGATAGTTGGAAGAATGAATAAATCGTGAAAAGATCCATGTTTCCAATATCAAATGGAAATTAAACTCTTGGATATAGATCATTACTGGCATATAGAGAAATAATATGGATTGAATGAATCGCATATTTGTTACATACCTAGTTTTCACCAGAATTACTTCAGGGAGGGTGAATATTTCATTTCTTGGATAAGGTCCTTCTAGAAATTATTATCCATTTCATTCACTGGGTAGGTATAGTTCAATTCGATTTAGTATAATATCTTCTTCAGATATATTCGAATACGAAGCAATATGTTACTGATGTGGGAACAAAAATAGCTCAACCTGTCCTCAAGAGAGCAGATTCCATGAAGCAAATCGGTAATACCGTTCTAGCCAGTAAATACACTACCTATGCAGCAGATACACTCGACGGAGCATTGAATGTCGCTGAGAAATATGTGGATAAATACTTACCTGCTGAGGATGAACCGGCAACTGATGGTGAGTATCAGTACTGTGGAAGATGCTTCTTTTATTCATTGATATTTCCACCAACTTCAATATCGCTGCCCATCCTTCTCTCAAATTTCCAGTTGAATTTGAATAATTGCTCATGATTGGAGGTTGAAACTAGCTATTCAATTTTAGTTGATTTCCAGTAGTAATATCACAAGTAATGGAATTCGTAATTCTAACCAACCAATTGGTATCATACTGATAATCTGCTAGTAGCAAATCTGAGCGATGACTTTTTCAGTTTTGGATCTTCGTTTGAACAATGTTTGAACGTGGTTTGAACCTTGATTATATACACATGTGTGAATGAATACTCAATGGTTTGAATGAATACGTAAAGGTGTCCATAGACTGCGCGTTGTTGATATGCTGTTTTGTTCGACGTACTAGTCTGTTCGAACAAAAAATGACGGAACACCGGAGTGTGTGGCTATCAAATGTTCGTTGTAGTTGGGCATTTTTCAAAATAGTTGGAAAAATAATAACGCCAGATTACATTCTTTGTGGTAATTTGTTTAAATGATTTTAACTATAGATTAGCACTCGTCGCTTTATTGCATCTTGTTAAATTTATTAAAAAATTACCACCCCTTGCGTAATTTCTGTTGATGATTTAAAGATTATGGAACTATAGATATAGAGTAAAGAATCAAAAAATTCCATGTCAAAAGAATAAATGTAACGCACTGAAAAGTATGTTGTAAATATGTCCAGCCCCTAGCGCTCATTCGTCGCTTGTCGCTCGACAGCCTCCAAATAGTATAGGAGCTGAGTAATTTCTCGTGAAATCTCTCTATAGTAGATTATTTCATACACTGAATACTCATGCATGATGATAAAAACATCGATTCTGAGCGTCTCAAGGTGATAACACTGAATACGTGGGTCAACTCACTTGAAAATATACGAGAAGTGAGTTTCCTTGAGATACGAATAATGCGAGTCAGCTTCAATATATATCCACCGAATGACTTTGTAGTACACCACTCTGGTGTGAACTGAAAAATTGTCGTTCTAAAATTGTTGTTATCCATCATTCGGTTGCCCCCTTACGAGCAACCCTCAGAAGTCTTCAAGAAACTTGTGCGAGCAAGGAGTGGCGGGGGTCTTACCTTTTAACGTGTGATCCCAAAAATTTCTGCGGTCGTGGTGGGAATCGAACCCACCACCGGCAATCCAACGTGGATAGAACATTGACGCTCTAACCACGAGGCTAAGCTGGCCTACTAACAAACATGAATGCGTATACACCACAGAAATGTACGTTTCGATCAAATTTTCACTATATGGGTAGGTACCCTATTGTCATAGTGTAACTCTTGACTGAAAATGTCGGTGTTGAATCTCACTGAAACAATCAGGACCTCAGAGGACACCCAGTGGTGTTAGCTGGTGTGAGATGGTGTTATTTTTTACACTGTGTAATAAAATATATGATTTTTTAAAGTATGCGCACCTACATTAGTTCGCTATGATTTGCCCCTGGAGGGCACTTTTTCATAAAAATTCGCATACTGAATGCACTTACAAGTTGGCACTAATCATCAACACCCACTCATCTCATGGAGAGAAATAATGTACAGTTTCTGAAATTTTGCTTCACTCCTGAGCGGCACTTCACCCGTGAGTGTTTTCATCGGACTGTGTAATTTGGAAGTCGAAAAAAAAAAAAAGAATTGCTGATTCTGAATTCGAGGTTTGATGCATTTGGATAGGTAAAAATGAAATATTCTGAGTTTTACCAATTGAATAACAGAAACTATCACGAACCACCAAGTATATTCTTCTGGAATTTGTTACACAAGTCCTTCCTCTTCCACCCAAGCGACTCACCTACCATCAGTCACATCCAGTTCTGGATTTACGAAAATTGATCGTATTTCTGGAACAAAAAAAAAACACCTCGTATTTTCGAATTTCTGAATCCGCTTACATATTTGAAACGTGCATAAGCTGAATCGAATGATGTACTTTCCATTTCCCCGCATGCTATTGTAACCTGGGTGAATAAGCCAGTGTGTCTTCTAGTGGAAAAAAAATCTTAAAATGAGTCGATATAATGACATATCCCTGTTGAAAAAATTGTTTGCTCTCAATTCGTGAATTTCACATACACAGAGTGTTCTTATGAGCCCCAGCATCTGATCAATTTTCGTTAATCCGGACCCGGATTTTACTCGTGAATGATAGATGAGTATGATCAACTTTTTAGTTATTCCGGACCTGGATTCTTCACGTGACTGATAGGTGAGTCACTTTGGTAGGAGACGGAGGAATTGTGTATCAAATTCCAAAGGATATATTTGGTGGTTCGTAAATTATGTCCTCACAATGAATTGAGCAAAATTGATAAAACAGCCTATATCCAAAAACTATATCTATAAAACTTGTGAGAACCTACAAATAATGGTGAATTCAGACCACCTTGAGTGGTTTTACCCACCGTTGAAGTTTTAACGTTTCCCAATGTATACATGTATTATATACAAAGATCTCTCTAAGTATCCATATGAACATGAGCCCGAAAATGCTTTCCTGGGGAGTTATAGCCATCTGAAAGAGGGTCCGAGATGATGTTTTTTTTTTATAAAAATTTGCGAAGCCCACTGTGTTGAGATAGCTGAATTCTGTACATGTATATCAATTCTCATGCCCGATTTAAAAATGTTAAGGATTTTTCTGAATATTGATCAGAAGCGTGGAAAATAGGTGGGGAGGTGGTGCTACGGGTATTTCTTTCCCCAATTTTTTTTCTATGCAATTCTCAACAGTTTGACCAGGAACTATGACAATATAATCATTTTTATTGAAAATAACCCCTCAGCGATCAACCTTTGCTCCCAAAGGTGCCTGAGCAAAGGTCTGAGGGGTGCCAACATATATATCTGCTCAGACAGCCAAGCCGCACTAAATGCCCTAAAATCATTCGTTTTCACATCAAAGATTACATGAGACTGCTTTGAAACACTCATGCAACTGGGAAAGGGCAACAAAGTCACACTTATGTGGGTTCCAGGGCATGAAGGAATCAAAGGAAATGAGGCAGCTGATCGCCTTGCGAAAAAAGGTGCAGCATCTGCACTTTTCGGTCCTGAGCCTTTTTGTGGGATAAGCGAATGTCACCTAAAGGGAAAACTCGGGAAATGGAAAGACATTGAAAAGTCCTCCTACTGGAGAGCAACTCCAGGTCAACGACAAGCGAAAAGGTTCATCAACCATTCGCAGAACCGAGCCAAAGAGCTACTCAGCCTCAGCAAACCAGAGCTTAAGCTTATCACAGGCTTTCTCACAGGACACGGGCCTCTGAGGTACCACCTCAAAAAGATGGGTCTGGCGGAGACTGGCACTTGCCGCTTTTGTAACAATGCAACCGAAACCGCGGAACACATACTTTGCTCATGTGAAGTATTAGTCCGCCGAAGGCTTAACCACCTAGAACAGATCTATCCCACTCCTGCTGAAGTGGAAAAGTCAACCGTCAGGAAAATCATAGGCTTCATCAGAAGTCTAGGGTTAGAGGACCAAAACTGGATAAGGGTAATCACAATAGATCTTCTAGGTCGCAGTGATAGAGAGGTCTCTCAGCCTATACGACCCATCTACAATTTACAATCTACCTACCTCTCAGCGGGCCATTTCTGGGCCCATGTTTATATGAACTTTTTTCACCAACTGTATACCTTACGTGTCAGTAACGCGATCTGGTGAAGAGTCTCAGCATCTTAGTTTTGCCCTGCTAATCCTGTCCTCATACAATGTGATGATTTTTCCCAAAATTCCAGAAACTGAAAACACCATTGATGGACCGACTGGTAAGGCTATACATACGATACATCATGTAGACAGATTCTCACGCAAACTGAGAAGAAGGCTGACTCAACGTACCATAGCAGAAGTTGAGGCATTGAAACAACAAAGTGCTGAGGCAGTTCACGTGCTCATATACGTTGCTGAACTGGTGAGTTGACATACAAAATTCACTGATGAATATTCACTATGTCCATTAATTGAGTGTACGATAGATGCCATTCTGTTGTCTGGAATTATCTTACAATCATGCACAATACATTTCATGAGCAGGTATACTTCTATGATTGGGAAATAAAAATACATCCCTCTCAATTTGGGATTCATGATAGATTGATATTCATCATACAGGACGTGGAAAGTAATTTTGAATCGAGAGAACATAATATCATGAATCTGTGATTGAAAGGTTTTGAGAAAATAACAAGTTACCATCGTTCAAGTTTGAACTCCTTGATTTGGTGGAAGTATTGGAAAGGAATATTCTCAGATGAATTATGAACATGACAAAATGGATATATATGAATATAAAGAAATTTATTCTCTATGTGACGAAAATATCAACCCAAACGATTACCTACTTTCCTGGCTATATGCTTCGACGACTTTGAATTATATCTATTGAACACACATGACAAGAATTTGAAGATAAAGTCTTCTGAAGTTGGGGATTTGCATTCTCTTTCAGATAAAAATATGTATATGCACATAATATTCTGTATATTCAACAAAAAAAAACTACTTTCCTGGCTATTTGCACGTCAAAGATATTGAATTATATTCATTTTTTAAACCTTTAATCGCAGCTTCGTGATTAGGTTTTCTCAATTCAAAATTTCTTTCCACGTCCTGTATGATGAATATCAATTTGTCATACATCTGAAAATAGAAACGATCAGATGATAGGAATTGACTGTCAACAAATAATTCTCAGATGTGAGTTCGTTATAGTTTGAATCGTTGAATTTTGATTCATCAGAGATGCTCCGTTAATGATGCTATGCGAAGAACCATCGGACAACTCCTTCATAACCTATGCGAACTCATTGAATAATTTTCCTAGTTTATAATTACATATTTTGGCATCATTCCTGATAAACTCCGACAGCTTTCTGGTGTTTGATGAGCATTGAATGACACTGTTCATGAAATATGTGTTGCCAATGTTCTCCAATCCATTGAGACCCAGCATCTTTGCTTGAGGTGACGAAGTCCTGACAATGGGCTACAGAATAGAGATTCAGCTGCAGCAGTTGTCAAATTGAACTGAAGGGTCCCGTGGTCGAGCATCCTCTTCATCACTGGAACTTTGTTACATCACATAGTTTGACAAAATTGCTTCTAATAGGTTGAGGTTTGGCGAAGAGTTTACATTCACTGGTTTGAATGAAGTTGATGAGATTGCTGCACTATCATCTGGGATAAATTTGTCTCTGATATTTGAACTGTGGTGTTGATTCTCTCCGTTGCTGGAGAATTGAGGAGGATCATGAAATCTTCGGGGATTTGGTATGATGGGTTGCAAGAAACGTTCATTCAGTTTTCCAGTTATGGAATTTGTACTCAACACTGAAGCAGCATTTCTTCTCTGAATTGCTTTACCGATTTGCTAAGCCAAAGTAGTGTGAGCTCTATGATCATCGCGGTAGATTTCATCATTCTGTGACCAATCTCCTCCAAAAGAATTAGAGCGGTTGGTCCGAATACTCCGTAGGTTTCAATTACAGCTGGATTCAGATATGGAGGAATTAGAAAAATTTAAGTATTTGAGGAATTGCCTTTTTTATGCATCGATTTTCTGGTTGGATTGAGCTGAGAGGTAGTAACCATACCAACACAAGTCAATTTCTATACCAATGGTATTCCGACTCCAAGGAATGATGCTCATTCCGTCTGGACGTTTTTCATCATCTCTGCAAATTTCTACAGGTCCTCAAATGAGACTTCGGCTCTTGTCAGGTTATCATGTTTTGAAAACCGACCAGAGGATGAAAGAAGTATCACTACATCAATATGATGCTACGACTTACACTATCCTATCATTACTTTTGGACAAAAAATATATCGGGCTGACAATAATTCCTCATGCAATGTTGCAAAAACAACGGCAGGAGTCACCTTATCCAACTTAATAGTGCTGCCTTAGGAATGTACTATTATGATGTTTGAAGATATCCTTTTGGCTCATGGAGCCTTTTTCTTTATCGCTTGGAGCGCATGAAAGAGAATCCCTATAATGTTCAAAGAACATCGTGCGTTCCTAGGGAGGATAGGGACAGGAGGTAGGTATTTGGATCTTTTTTTGAACTTTTGGAGATTATATGTTGTTGGGAATACTTCCACAGGCAATGAATTCCAGAGCCTAGCCGTTCTATGGATGAAGGAGTCTTGATAAAGTGCTGTTTGACATCTTTCGAGGTTGACAACGAAAGGATGTGCTGACTGGGCTTGTCTAGTTCGTCTGATTGGTATTGCCTTTTATTGAAAATACAGGACCGTTGCATACGTATTTCTAATTGCTCGATGAAAATTCCCAGTGAGGATTGATAACATTTTCATCGCGAAATACTTTTGCGTAATAACAGAAAGCAGTTGTGAAGTTATAATTGATAAGAGTGCCCCGAACATATTACTTCACGCTCTTCGAAGGCAAACAATGAGATATTCGAAGTACTCTATTATTGATTAGATTTGGAACTACTCCGTGCCAGACTATTTCTTTTTCAATTCTTGGATGACGTTTGTTTAATCGAATTCCCCAAATGAATAGACATGCACTTTCTGGCTTTCGCTAGTTAAAATCGGTTATTGACATTATCTTCATGAATGATATCGTCGAATATCTATTCAACTGATCGACATTGATTTGATTAATCGTTTCAGGTGGCTACAGATCCTGTTCTAGCGTTCCAAAAAGGAAAAGAATTGTGGGCCAGCCTCAGTAAAGATGAACCGGAAAATCAGGCGAGGCCAGAAAACGTAGAGCAGTTGATAGTTCTAATGACCAGAGAATCAGCTAGAAGAATGGTACATTTGATCAACTTCACTAGTGGAGTTCTGAGCAATGCTCCAAAGAGACTAACTGTTACCGTCAATTCGATTGCTAGGAAAATTTTACACGTGCTGGACTCAACAGTGAAGGTATGAAAAAATATATCTACTTCATGAACCAATTATTGATGCAAGAACCTATCCTCATACTACAGGTGGTAGTGGTGATTACACATACATATGATTCGACGGATGGATTATTCAGAGAATATTGGAATGTTTATTTTGTTTGAAAGATGGAAGCAAATAGAGTTCAAATTGAACTCAATCTGAAATCGAGTTGAAAAATAATACTATGTTGGATTATCGCTCCTTTCCATGAATAGTACCCACTGGTAGGTCGCTGATTTACCTTGAATAATACACTAAATATTTCGCATCATTATTCACAATAATTGAACATCATACACTGATGTGTCCTGGACGCCAACATGGAAGATTTTCTTGAATAAAATGGGAGATCGAGAGAGGTACCCCATTTGAAACGTCTTTCAATTCTCTATATGACCCTAGAATTTCAGACATGATAAATATTCACGTAACCAGTAACGAAACGCGTCATTTCGTGTGACGATGGGACACAGAGTTACACAAAATGCGTTTCGATGTCTATCTAGTGCCATGGATGTTTGTACTTGAAGTGGCGGTTCAATTAAAGTCCATTGAAAGCATCCAATGAGCATCCATTCTTGTACGTATAATGAATGTCCATCCAATGTTCATGGATATTTGGACTCGAAATTAACCTGAAATAAACGTCCATCAATGTTGTGAAAGTGTAGAATCCCAGGTCTGGAATAGCGCTACTAGTAGCTTTTCCTAAGTTAACCTTGGCCAGCGATTGGTTTCGGGTCTCGAGATCGAATCTCCGATAGAGCCGACAGCCCAGAAATTTCAATTCACCATTGATAGAAGCGGTAAGCCACCAACGTATATGCGCTTGCAAATCCGTACCAAGGAGGATATATTTTTCGAGCCCATTTCGAGTATCTGACTGCGAACTCAAAACTATAAATGCGAAAATGCGTTTTCACCGTGAAGTACTGGTAAATCACTCGTTTCAAGTGTCTCATAAGTATCTCAATAGTCGGCATTTCTCAAGTAGATCGGTGTTATCTGATTGGCAGTTAGAACTATTGAGTTCCAAATAACAGTGCTGCTTCTGAGGTGGCGTTTAGAGTTAGTTGCAGAGTCTGCACATTATATACAAAGACAGAAGGACATTTCGTTATTTGATGCCAGTTGGTCAATATCTCGTTAACAGAACCAAAGCATCATATGAAAGCATCAGTGCTCAGCTTTCAGTGAACTAATAAAATTATCATGATCGCAATTATGGAGTCACTTAATTTTCCATAATTTTTTGTTTCATAGACGATTCACATGGAAGACGTCCAAAGAAACATTGGAGACATTCTCAAAATCCAAGGACGACAATTAGCCAAGGCACTGAAGGAGGTCAATGCTTATATAAGCGAACTCTTGGTGAGTGGATGCCCTACTACTCTATTGAAACTTTGGTTCTGTTAGCCTGTTTTATATTGATTGATATTTAGCTTTTATGAACTGAAATTGCATCAATAGTTATATATCGGGTTTCCACGTAGTGTAGAGGCTCTACCATCGCGATGAGAGAAAGAGAAAATCTTCCTGGGGATATAGTACAATACCGTTGGGATGGATGGTCATTTAGAAAATTGCCACCATATGGCCGCTAGGGGGCAGTTGGCCGATCTTTCGACCTCTAAAAATTTAAAATTTGTTCAAATCATATCGGTATACCCCTGTGCCAAATTCCCTGGTGCCTTTATGAAAAAGAACACAATAATATAGCCAATATCTGCTGTAGAGACACTGTGAGACCTCAACAAATTTTCAATATTTACCAGTCAAATGTGTTTTCTATGCAAATTGTGAACTTCTGTGCTGTTCAAACTTGTTAGATGGCCTAATTCGAAATAAACGTACCATCCCACCAACCGATATCAATCTTGATCACGAAGTATAGGTACCTAGTTAAATGTCCGGAAAATTTCGTATGCAAGTAGCATTTAAAACACACGATTCCATCATTCTCAGGATGACATGGTAATATATCATTGCATTTGATGAGACCTAACCACGTTCTACGTAATCAAAGATACTACCGTCTGAACATAGCACTACACCGCATCTCATAATCTAGGTCCGTTTGGGAGAACCGTACGGCAAGAAGAGACAATTTCTTGAAAAAAATACATTATAGAAAGAAGTTTTTTCAATTGATCACTTTGAAATAATAGCTAGAGGATTCGAACCCAGGTAATTTTTTTGTAAAGGCACGTATGTTAATTCATTGACCATTGCATTTCTGAAGACCTTATGTACGTAGCGTTGTTATACGCTCACTACTAGGTGCCTCTAGCGAACCTCGTGAGATTAATAGATACGGTACTATTTGCATTTTCTAATACCAAAGATTATAGGTAAATCTCATCTCATGGAAATCGATAATGCTCATGTCACATAATTCATACACAAACTCGTCTGGGTTTCTAATGAGAAGAAAAACAAAGAAACACTGCCAAACCTTGCCTTCTTCCTACGCATCGCGTTCGCATAGTCGCATGTTTTCCACACGATAGCTACACGTACAATTGTCAAAGTCACTATACCATTATTAGATCTATATAAATAAATCTTTTTGTGTTTACACTTCGATATATGGCTTTCTTATGAGACGATCTCATTTGATAGACATTATGTACAGTCTCATTCAATAAAAATGCGTAATAAGTATTAAACATAGAAGATTTCGGCATCCTAGTTCTCGTTGTATTCTCCCTCCATTATACTTGTACGCTTTTTTTTAATACTACTGTATATTGCCAATAAGTAACTATAGTGATATTTTCGCATACTATGAAAGCAACAAAAAATGATGATTCATGAATATTTGCAAACAGAAGATTACTGTCATTTTTACATGAACATTAAAATCTGGCAACTATGTGTTCAACTCACAGTAATCTACAACAACAAAACATTAAATTTCTTGACCATAAAGCAGAGATAATGAATGAAAGGTAGATTCACTGTCACAAGAACGACAGTGGATTTTCTCTGTAAGTTCGGTTAGTTTTAGTTTTAAGTTAGATTTTTCGATTTACAAATTTTAATGAAAATAATATTCCCATTTTGATTATTGCCTCAAGTTCCGATGGATTCCTTTACAGAGGTTAATTGATCATATTCGATATATTTTCAATTAGATGACGTTTGTTTTCTATTTGGACACAATAAAATCCTTCGCTTGTGCTCACTGTGCCCAAGAATTAGGGACTTTTGAGTGCCATAATTGGAAATCAAATACTGGACGAGCATGAATTATAGAACGATCAAAACTATAATTTGACACATTGTCTGCTGAATAAGGAGGGGAAATCTAGTGATCTATAACTACTGGTTTGCTCAAACAGGCAGAATCAACTGTAGGTTTCTGTGGCCGATAGAGTAGTGCCGCCATACGGTCAATTCGAGGAAACAATTATTACATTTGTTTTTCTATCAAATCTACGTAACCTAGCGATTGTGGTTCAGTCACGGCGTGGCTACGATGCTTGTCACAGCATAGTCACGGTCACTCAACTGTGTTTATAATTCGAAAATTCGAAATTGAAGTGGTTCATGCGGATTGCGGGTATGTGGACTGTGAATACCGAGCAAAATCACGTATATAAATGAAAAAAATTGATTACAATATGACTGAATGATGTATGAACGAAAAAAATTATAAAACACGATGAGAATTGAAAAGTTACGATTAGAAGATACAAGTCACGATGGTACTCAAATCACGAGTATCACGGCAGCTCTTCACACTGACAGTGGGTAACAACGTCAATGTTTTTACATTATCACAAATTTTGAAAATTGTCGAGGAAGAAGTGACGATTATTTCAGTCGATACAGTAACACCCCCTGTTGCTCATACACAGCTCAACTAGAGCAGACCAGTAGCTACAGCTCTCCAGAATTTTTCTTCATGTTTAGCAGACAATGATTCGACAAAGGACTGGCATTCCAAAAATTAACCACAACCGTAGTCACCAGTAGATAACCATTGTCAAAATTGTTGGTATATACCGGCCCTGAAAACATCGGTAACCTCTGTTGATCAACGGGACATATTCTATTGAAGCTATATTGATGTATTATCGATCGAAATAAATAACCAATTTTTTGTGAAGCTGCTCTCGAGATCGATCCTATATGATTTTTCCATGAAACATTATTTCTGATGGCAATACCGAGCATAAATATGGTGAACTTTGTGGAGATGATGTTAAAGATATCGTTATGTTTCCATACTTTATGCACGCACTTAATAAATCATTCCATATTCTCTACATGAACCATCATCAGGCATAAAATGAGATCGAAGGATATTTTCTAGGCCCAATGAGTGTCAGAAAATATCTATCAACTCTTCTGATGGTGTTGACAGTGATATAGTAATATAAAGGGCATATGTATAACTTCATTTTTCACTAAATGAAACCTACACAACACAGTTTTCAACAACAAATACAATATGTAATAATAATTTTTCTTTTCAGGAAAGAATCCAAGAAAATCCCAGTAATGAAAACCCCTCAAAATCTGCATTGGCTATTCCCCAGATCAAAGTACAAGAAGCGAAAGCAACTATCAAAAATACAATTGCCAAATCAAATGGCACAGAAAATAACTCTTAACTACCATCTTATCAGTAGATATATTATGAACGGCATTTGACTGATTGATCATTGGATACAATATTACTGCTAGGTGGGTTACCAAATATTGATTTACTGTACTTCAAAACTAACAGAAACATGGAATATATTCATATTATATAATCACATGTATTATTTTAGTTCAAGATGATCCTAATTATGACATAGTTTCAGTAGGATATTCTATGAATAACCATTCTATAGTGATAAAAAAGTCTTTTCTGTGGAGGAAAAATTTTAGAAATTCCATATCTGGGAGACAACACAATCTACTCCTTTTTCCCTTGTATAATAAATAACTATTTCGATTAGGTACTTTCAAGCAATACTAAGGAAGTTATATGTAAAGATATTTTATTTTATATGTACAAATGTATACAATATTTATAATTATCTTTTTCCTTCTCTAGAAAAATCTATAAATAAATTCCTATACTAATCATAAAAGATGATATGGCAATGTGATCGAACAGGAGATTGAAATTAATGCAATATATAATGAAATGAGATGAATAAATAACTGGTGGACACTCACTCGACCACTGAAACAAAACAACTGCATTTCACGAAATAGTGGCATCATCAATACACCAGTTTCATAATTCTCTAAAATAATATCAAGAAGTTAATATGAATCTTATCGTCTACAGCCATAGCTCATTCCAAACAATAAAATATTATTGAAAAAAAAAAAAAACAACAGCACTTGTCAAGTAATATTGTCAATTCTTCAATAATTTCAGGCGAAACTATATATTCAAAACTATATCTTAAATCAGTTCTGCCACGTATTCTGGTTGTCCTTCATGATTGATGGTGAGCTCCGAACCTTCGAATTTCGCACCATAAGGGTTGTAGTCTTTCGAATGGCCTAATCTATCTGGCACTTGGAAAGTCGAACCTTGAAACCCCATGGCAGCTTCATAATACTGCAAACATAATATTTGGTAATCGAACTAAAATACTAGGTCTTCAACATTGATCCCAGACGCACACCTTTCCCGGCAGTTCATGTACTTTCCTGGCGTCAAGGTGTACAGGGTATCCCAATTTGGGCACTTTTGCGGGGTATCTCCCTTATCAGTATAGATGGAGCATTGCGGTTTTTGGAACAGTGTGTTACTTTTTTATGAAATTAATAATGGCGCGAGAAGAATTGTGATAGCTCTTCCGGTTGTCGAAATACAGGGTGGAATTGAACTTATCAAAGAAGTTGATACTAGTTTTCATAGAGTTTTTCTCGTAGAATCCAGTGGCGTAGTTATTGTTTTGCTAGCACCTTTTGTTTTCCAGTTATGGAGCAAACATATGCTTTTTAAAATGCAACACCCTGTATATCATTTCATATATTCATCAAGCATGAAGTGGGCTTCCCAAAAATATATAATTATATACAATTATTTTCAAAAACAAGCTCAACATTTCAGATTTTCAAGAATTTTGAACTATGTCTAATTATAATAGGTAGGCTATGGCTAATTTGTTTGGAACAAAGAGCAAAATATCAAAAACTTCACGTGCTATTGTCAGTTTCAGATACAAAATATGCGATTTATTTTACAACAATGGCGGTATTATGTTGATGATGAAAAGTATGATATATGATGGTTTGTTTCATACAATCTAATGAAAATCCGCGAGAAGCTTCGGAATTATATTTACAAAGGTAACATATTTTGAGCGCTATGTTTACGATAATTTCTTAGGAATTCTTTATTTGCTTATACTAGATATCCAGAAAGAAGACAACCTTTCCCAGTCATATTTTCCCGCCTCATATCAAATTTTAGTAGATTATGGATCATTTATCCAGCCCCGTCCTAAGGCATATACCAAACAAGATAAAGAGAGAAAACAAATTTACGTGTTGGGTTATGTAGAAGCGGCGCCCTCATCTTCTTGCAAGCAAATAGAGGAAGCAACTGGTGTATCCAAGTCAGATGCTCAAAGAATTTCACGAGAATATAAGTATCATCCCTATAAATTCCAAATAGTACAACATTTACACCCAACAGATCCTTGCCGATGAATCTTTTGGAAGACTTGTTATCTGGTCCGATGAATGTTATTTGTCAAGTGTGGGAATTTTTAACCGCCATGATACAAGACATTGGTCTGTCGAAAATCAACATTTAATTTCTGAGAGGGCACAACAGGGACGCTTCGGAGTTGGGACACAATGTTTCATTTTTAGAAAACGAATAGTCTACAAAATTTATGAAGGAGGTCTCACAGCACGTCGTTACCGAGAAATCCTCGAGGAACTTATTCCAGAACTGATGGAAAATGTTCCATTGACTCTTTATATTTCCGTTTATTTCCAACAAGACGCCCCCAGCCACAACTCTGCCCTTTTGAGGCCATTTTTAGATGATAACTTTCCTCAAAGATGGATTGGTATCTACTGACCTGTAAGATGGCCCCCTCGATCTCCGGATCTTTCAATTTTGGATTTTTTTATGAGGTTTCCTGCAAGGTAAAGTTTATAAAACAAGATAATATCATTCTGTAGCAGAGCTTCGTGCAGCGCTATCAGTAGGATAACAAGAATGTGCCAATTTTGTATACGAGAAAATGGTCGTCATTTTGAAAACCATCTATAAAACCTCTTTGCATTTTCAAAATTCTGCTATCATTTGCTTTCTTCTACGTTGAATCTCAAGTACAATAGGTTTGGTGTTTGTTGTTATTCATCATAATAATTAGGTTTGAATGATGTAATAAATAATTAAGGAATGAGAAATCAAGAAATATTAGGTATTCGAATTGAGTTTGAGTATAAGAAGTATAATAATCACTCACATTAATTTTGTTTTCAATAAAGTTTAGCCATATCGTTCTACCTGAAATTTTTTTTTGAAAATCTGAAATTCTGAGCATGTTTTCGCAAATAATTGTATACAATTATATATTCTTGGGAAGCCCAGTTCTTGCTTGATGAATATATGAAAAAAAAAACATATGTTTGCTCCATAACTAAAAAACAACAGGTGCTAGCAGAAAAATAGCTACGCCACTGGATTCTACAAAAAAACACTCTATGAGATTAAGTTTTAACTTCTTCGATAAGTTCAAAGATATCTGAGACACAGGGGGTGCCTGAAAAGTGATATTTTTCAATTACACCTATATCTCGGAAATCGGAAGAGCTATCAGAATTCTGCTTGCGCTATTATTAATTTCATGAAATAGAAGCACACTGTCGCGAAAACTGCAATACTGATAAGGGAGATACCCCGCAAAAGTGCCCGAATTGGGATACCCTGTACAGGCGGCCGCCAGCCGGCCGTATTACACATTACCGGCGATCAAATTATTGATTCAGAAGTGCTACAATGGCAACAAATTTCAATGCACTATTGATTGGAGCGCTCAGCCACCAACGTTTATGCGCTTGCAAATCTGTATCAAGGAAAATGACTTTTTCGAGCACTTTCCAAGTATCTGACCGCGAACTACTAAGTTTGAATGCGCACAGTTTGTAGTTCGCGGTCAAATACTTGGAAAGTGCTCAAAAAACTCACCCTCCTTGATACGGATCTGCAAGCGCATATTCGTTGGTGGCTGAGCGCTCCCGTCAATAGTCCATTGAAATTTTTTTACCGCTGTAAGCACTTCTAAGTCAATATTTTTATCTCCGGAAATGTGTATTACGGCCGGCTGACGGCCGCCTAGACACCTCGACGCCGGGAAGGCATTATATTTCGATAGTCGGCAGTCAGTTCTCACGGAGATCGGTGTTATCTGCACCACGTGACCAAAATGTGTTTGCAACCAATACTGCACAGTTGGTAAATAAATGACTGGAATTCAACAGCTGCTATCAAAATGAAACATATACATATGGGTTACGTTCTATCAGGATTACGATTGACACTTCTGAAATTTGCTATCAGTAAGAAGGCAGCCATTTCACCAGAAAAAAACATGTTTAATCCTGAGAGGTAAAAAAGGACATGAACAAGTTAATTACTGGTCTCACCTTTCAGCGTCAAATAAATCCAGTAGGTTTTTGAAATCTCAACTCGTATCGGATGGCACAATTCTTATCTCTTTATCAAGTCGTAAAATCGGATGAAAATTCTAGCACAGGAAAGTGCAATTTTTTCAATCATTCTGCTCGGACTACACCTTTTTCAATTGTGATTCAGAAAGTATGAGATGTAATTCAGAAAGTATAAGTTGTAATTCAGAATAGTTAATTGTAATTCAGAAAGTATAAATTGAAATTCACATTAGTTAATTGTAATTCAGAAAGCGTAATATGTAATTCAGATTAGTGAAATGTAATTCAGAAAGTGTAACTCGTAGTTCAGAATAAGGAAATGTAATTCAGAAACCGTCAATTGTAATTCAGAAAGCATAACTTGTAAGTCAGAAAGTATCGCTTATGATTAAGTTACCAACAATCAAAGCCATGTTTTCATAGAAATTAACTACAAAATATCGAAAAATCAAATGGATTGCAATTGGAATGAATTTTACAGGTATATATATTGTTGTTTTTTCACATACATGTGAGATTATGAATTCCAATGAAAATTGTGGAATTTGCCGAAATGCAATGACTCGAGGTTTAGTAGTAATCAGAATCGAACCGTGACGGCATCTTTTCCATGAAAACGTTCTGGGCGGAACTGAGGGAAGGCTTCTTCGTTTAGCTCCATATTCCCCAATGTTGAACCAGCGTACAATTTATGTACCTTGGTTGAACCCAATTGAAACAATATGGTCCAAAATAAAGTGTCATATAAAAGTAAATCTTCGAGTACCACAAGTTGAATGTCCGGGTGTTGGAGAACAATAACGACTTGTTTATCTTGAACATAATATTGACCAGGCCAAAGATACAATTGTTAGAGGTGTTTGTGCTAGGGCTGCACAATACACCACCATTCACCATGCTGCAGCTCTGGCATTTCAAGATATGCCCGTTGGTCGATAAATATATAATATTCCTGTTCACCACACACTGAACCGTACGTTGATTTCTATTCCCTACCCTTATTTAAGTCCATATAGTATTCATGAATTACAAGTGATGCTTTCTAAATTACGATTACGCTTTATGAATTACAATTGACTATTCTGAATTACAAGTTACACTTTCTGAATTACATTCCACTAATCTGAATTACATATTATGCATTCTGAATTACAATTGACTAATCTGAATTGCAATTGACGTTTTCTGAATTACAATTGACGTTTTCTGAATTACAATTGACGTTTTCTGAATTACAATTAACTATTCTGAATAACAAGTTACACTTTTCTGACTTACATTTTACCAATCTGAATTCCAAGTTACACTTTCTGAATTACAATTGAAAAAGGTGTAGTGAATGGCACTGGTGCAGTTCGATAAACTACAATATTATTTCGTCCACATATATTCCAACCAATCGGTATCATTTAAGTATTTCTAAATCAATGAAATAATCAGGTTGAGACGTATCTCAAGTGATCCCAAACCGTGTTGCATCCATAACAAAAATGTTCACAGAGTGTTTTGACTTTGTATATGGAGTTTGCTAACTTATTAATATTTTAATCTGTATTTTTAGCCGGTTCTGATGCAATATAAATAAATAATCAAATGCTTACATTAGATTCTCCTCTAAGAGAGCTATTATTACTCTCATTTTTGTGATTTGGTACACCTGACAGTGTCGCATAGTCAGCTAAATCATCTGCTATCGACATAGACGCCAAATGTGATGAACCTCTTCTATTGGGGTGTTGTATAGTAGCATACGTGTTGTCCTGTAATATATAAATCAAATTAATATAGAAACAAATGGAAACTTGAGGTCTTGACTGAAGCTGACGACCCAGTAGAGAATTTTATTCAGCATATTGGATCATTACATATACAGGGTGTCTTCTTATATTCTGATCCCTACCTGCAGCTACAACCATATATACGATGGGGTGGAATAACTTTCAAATATATTGAAATTGTAGGTTTCCTCTATCGTCTTTTGAAATCGCTGTCAGTTTCTTTAATAAAATTGGTTATTCCGTAGAAGGGAAGACGAGAAGGTAAGACTGTATTATGAATATAATGCAAAAATTTATAAAGTGCAGCAAGAACGAAACGAAACCCTACAACAGTCATATTTTGAGTATTTTTCCACCTCGTATTGTTACCCAACGAACACGACAAGGCTGGCGCTTAAATAGCACATTTATTTTAATCGACATATACTGCTGGTACTGTTTCTCGGTGATGAAAAAGTAAAATAAATGTTCATTGCTGTTGCAATCATATAGTATGTTGTACTTTAATTATGTTGGTACAATAGTATATTTCGTATAGAGTTATGTGAATCAAGATTACACAATTTTTACAGCGTTGGCGAATCAATGAGTATGAATCATTTAACAAACATCAATAAAACACTACTGGTTGAACGATGAATGAAGGATATTGGTTCCTCAATGTGTGTGAAGTGAACAAGCGCATAAATAGAAAGTTGTATATGAGTGCATTATATGCAATCTCATCAAATCGAAAAAACGAATTCATTTGTATAAACTGATATTCTTCCTCGAGAACATCCAGTTATCCAGTGCATATGTGTACTACCTACCATGGAGTTTCAGTCCTAGAAAAAGTCTACTCAATTCAACCTCAGACTTAAGTCTTGTTGATTCCACTTAACTATATTTGTCGCAGTAGGCTAAGTAATATATGCAGTTGTGATTTATGAGCCACTTGAAATTCACAAATAAATCATTCCAGATAACAAAGAAGAGATGTTCTCGAGTATTGGCCATTTTGCAGATATTTCATATCAGATGTGGACATATTACTGAATGCGAGATGTGTTATTGTAAAGACAATTCTTATTATTATTATTATTATTATTATTATTATTATTATTATTATTATTATTATTATTATTATTATTATTATTATTATTATTATTATTATTATTATTATTATTATTATTATTATTATTATTATTATTATTATTATTATTATTATTATTATTATTATTATTATTATTATTATTATTATTATTATTATTATTATTATTATTATTATTATTATTATTATTATTATTATTATTATTATTATTATTATTATTATTATTATTATTATTATTATTATTATTATTATTATTATTATTATTATTATTATTATTATTATTATTATTATTATTATTATTATTATTATTATTATTATTATTATTATTATTATTATTATTATTATTATTATTATTATTATTATTATTATTATTATTATTATTATTATTATTATTATTATTATTATTATTATTATTATTATCATTATTATTATTATTATAAGTAGAATACTATTGTATACACATAACCTCAAAGTCCTCTGTGTGAGAATGAATCACATAATTTCCAACAGAAATGCACTGAAAACACGTCAGTCGGTCATCACTGGACCAACAATGAATAAGCAATAAATGGAAATACTGCTTCGCCAATAATGGCGTTAAGTCGGCCAGTGCTGGACAACTATATTGTGCTTTACCATTGAGAAATGCCAAGTGGAAGGATAATATACTGCTGTGACTAGGGTGACATCGCTCGAAAGGTGATGGCCCATTGATTAATGTTAACTGTTGAAATTGTGGGTAGGGGTCAAAATATATGGAGACACCATGCACGTCACCTTTATATATTATATGAACTGTTGATGAACCAGCGCGTCACAAATACCTATGTGACACAAAACCGAAGAATTATTATTTATCAACAGTACCTAATGATTTGATGCATATAAAATTCGAATATATCACAGCATATTCAAGTTTCTCAATATCTAAATGCAAAAAAATACATCCATCCATTAGTGTATATGCAAATTCCATTCTATCCCTACATCATGTTTTGATTATGAAGACAGAGAGGCACAACAAATATAGTTGAAATACAGAACCACCTCACCTGAATTTCATTTATTGTGAAGTATTGTAAAGTATATCCAACATCAATTGCAGAATATCTCGAACCGCGCGGCGTCGGAGGGTTTGAAATTCTCTTTGAAGTTCCGTGAAAGGGAGCTTCAAATCCCCCGATGCCGCGTGATGCAGGATATTCTGCAATTGATTTTGGATATATTACACCTACCAAATTGTTTTGGCGGCATTTTGATCAGCATCAAATTGCGTGAATGTGCCATGATTTAACTGACCCTGTATCGGTTTACGAGATCCCAATGATGAGCCTCGGATTCCAGTCACCCTGTACTCATTTTAGTTTCTTAATGAAACACCGTTTTATATTTATGACTTGTTCCATCATCGATTTGATCATGATTAACAAGTGAAGAATTTATCTTTTCATTGTGAATGATTCATCGATCAGAATATCAAACTCACCGTCACATAGTCGTCACTATCTCTTCTGGCATGGATAATTTGCTCTGGTTCATTAAAAACTTGCATTGTCAGCTCCTGTTCTTCGTAAATTTTCAATTTCCTATGAATAATGAGAGAATATCTTTGAAAAAATGTAGCTTAGATATGGTGAATTATCGCAGAGGTATAAGTTTGAGAAATAGCATATATAGTCCAGGCAACCAGATGATTTTTCGTTAACGTTCATGATGGGTCATGAAAAATGACATGAATATGTCACAGCCCATCGGTATGTTATATTCCTTACGTTCGTTTACAGTTACGACATAGAGTGAAGTTGACATGATATCAAAATGGAGTCTAATTCTTTTCTAATACTAACTCCAAAAGGCATCATTATGTATGCTATACATGGTGTCCAGAGATAAAGATTATTATTTTCCAATTAATCGTTGCATAAAATATCAGCAAAAATGGAAATATATTATATATTTACCAAACCAAGACATGATTGTTGTTATTGTCTTTCATTACCCCGTAGTAATATTTTATGAATAACCCTAATAACCTGAAAAACTGGAGAAAACATTCGTATCAGGGGTCTTCAAAGTGACCACGAAGGCGTACGAAGCCTCAACTCGACGGGATAATCTCGCGGGGACCACCAAGGGAGCAACAATTGTTGATATTTCAGAAGAGCATCGTCCATGGGAATATCTATAAAATAGAGCCAGATCGCCAATTTTTCTACGGTGTTCCAGAGAAGTGAGTGAGTTTGTGAGCGAGGCATCACCCACGAGACGAATTGCCCTTTCTCTGACTTTTGTTCACAGAAAACGTGTAGTTCAATTTTCACACCCACTTGCAGTCAAAATTAAAAAACGTACTGGAACATCATGTTTTATCAATTTCTTGTCTAATCGTCAAAGTAGGATCACAACTTTCTGGCTTTGTGATTTTCACATCAAACTTTAATAACATCAATTACTATTCTCTTATATTTCGTTGGGTGGAACAATGTTAGCTATAAATGTTATTGTTGAATCAACCACTTCTTGAGTGCACCCTATCGTCATTACAATCATGAGTATTCATCACGAAAGTAATAGAACGACGCTGTCAATTAATACATTTGAATCTAAAATGCTATTACAATTTTCAATCCAGAAATTTCATTATCATACTTGAAATGTTCGATACTCACTGTTCTATCCATAGAGGATTCTCAGTCGTATTCAAATCGTCAATGATAGCTTTCTTGATCAGTGCGTCTTTTTTCTTGAGATCCGTTGGGGATATTATCCAGTGTCGGAGACAACAGCAGGCCACGATAAACGTTATGATGCCGACTATGAGCACTATGAGAAGGGCTATGAGGGCAACTAATGCAGGATCGAAGGTATCTGCTTTTTCTGTTACGAAGGCTGGAACGACATTCTCAATGGCAAAGCCGGCATAATAGTCTTTGAGAAAATCGTATTTCGAATCGATCGTCTTCAAGACATCGGGCACTGGTTGAATTATCTGAGATTTGGCATCGACGACGAGGATGTAAAGGTCGGTCCTAAAAAAATTACATTGAAATAAAATTATTTCCGATATTTTTTTATTCATTATGAATGGTTGTTTGAAGTAGTACCTAATTATCTGCAACAATCACAGTGACACTACTATTTTTCCAAAAAATATAGTAATGATCCAAACAATTCCTGACCAGAATATAGCTTAAAACTTGAAATATCTACAACCTATATCAACTGAATAATCATAACATAATAACATCCAAAAAGGAAGAAGAAAAACCCGAAGTCATCTCCACTATTTTATTACTGATGTAAAAAGTCCATCTTCAGCCGCAGTAAGAAGTTAAGGAAGGTGAAACAGTATTTTGAAAAATAGATACCGATGTCTATCATCATAATATCGTGGTTGAATTGGTGAAAAGGGGGTCAAGAATGAACTGGTCTTTATCAAAACCAAAAAGAAAGCGCACTTATGAAAAACCTAATGTCCCAGAAGAATCAAGACCAATAAGCCTGACTCACAATAGCCAATAACTGCTGCACACAACTGTACATAATATTGAATGTTAATTCTACTCAGGAAGCATATGATCATTTCAAATATCGAATAGCCAATCTCTGACAAATTTATGTAAGCATAATTTCGTCAAATTTATATCTTTATGTCACGCAATTTCAATGAAATGTTCGTTATTCCATGGATTCATGGCCTATTGATAATTAGTTTGTATTCACACTTGATGAAAGGTTCATTCATTATTATATTATCATGATAATTATTATTATTAGGTATTATTATTATTATTATTATTCGTTTAATGATGTATTGATGTATACTTCCTACAAGAACTGAAATATGTCAAGTTCAAGAGTTTGGTCATTATAATTATCAACTCACCAATCTTCATTCTTCACTCCATTGTCGTCTGTATGATATCGAATTTCATCAATTATAACCAAACTCTGGGTAGCATTGCTCAATTCGGCGATAATCTCCTCTCTTTCATTGATCACTTCCTCTCTCGGCCTAGAGAGGATGACCCTTATAAGTTGCTCTGGTTCGAAAATCCATACCTAACGATGAGGATAATAACCTTTATTCTCAGATAATCGAGTATGACTGAATTTAATTTTTTTTCAATCGCTTGGAGCGCACGAAAGGAAATCAATATAATATCGCAAATATTCTCAAGATCGAAAAGATTTCTACCCGTTCTTTTGGACACGATGTCAGTTTCCTGATTCAGTTCCTTGAAAAATAGTTGTTGAACTCATAGCCATGGTGAAATTATAATAAGGTGTACTACGACGCACCTTTGTATACGTCACTGCGAGTAAAACAATTGCTCGCAGTCTGAGCTCGCAGTTATCAATTCGCTCAAGTCGCCGTTGTTGTGTCCTCACCCACTATTTTCTGTTATATGTATATGTATATGTCCTAATCTCAGTTTATTCAGATAATGTTCAGTTACAAGAAACTTACTATATTGTATCTGATTTCGTTCAAAATATTCTCATTTACCGCGTGAAACAAGTTGAACTTGGCACCAAAAGTGGCGACCTCACGCAGCTCGTGATAAAATTTTATGTAAAATTTGTAAAATTGTGAAATTTGTATATCGCTACTTCAAAGTTGGGAACCAACTCCCCAGAAGTCGTAACTTGTGCGGGGTTAGGAAGAGCGGGACCTACAGCTTATAGTGGATTCCGAACCACTTCTAGGGCATCGAGGTGCTGCCAGGATTACAACCATGAATCACACATTTCAAAGAAAAATGCTCAGCCGATAGCCGGATTCGAACCGACAGTACCTCTGCATCGTGAACGGCTATCTAGCGAATTTCAGCGCTTAGACAAACTCGGCCTCGGATAGGAGTGAAAGATATTCGAACGAGAATCTCCGTAACGGTCGCATGTGCCCATCAATAGCTACATGCTACTTAGCTCTCGCCGCTTTCACCGCTTTCACTGCTTTTATCGCTATAGTCGTGCTATAGGGCTCAACAACCTCGCCACTCCTGCAAGCTGACATCACTAGTAGAAGAATTCTTCGGGGTAAGTGCATCTTCAACTTGCGATCATAAAAGAAATTCATTTTATAAAATATCGCTATGTGCAGGAAAGACGAATTCAAGATACTTGAGTAGCACACCATATCATATTTCCACCATGCTCATACCTACTTTTCCCTCAATGTGTTCATCTACCAATTCGAAGAAAAATGATTGGTGACTTCGCATGGAGAGGTACTCTATATCATCTAAAACACCTACGTTATATTTCAACGTAATTTGAAATGAAATTCTTCTTGAGTCCATCCTCCTGGAGCTAGCGAATAGGGCTCCAAGACAATGGCAAGCAAAAAAGTTCCAGCCAGATGAGATATCAAGTAGGAAGGAGCCAAAATACTCAAAGTAGAAACAAACGCAAATGCAAATAAGATATGCGCAAATTCGATTGAGATGGCAGCTTTTATAACAGGCTTCCTCATTGTAAAACTAATTGTATACAGAGATACAGAAATTGGGAAAGGGGCAACATTCGAAATAATTATATGAGGTTCACAATCAATAGGTCTCGAAGAGCTTATAGAATGCCTAATTCATGATTTCGTGACCAGCAAGTGCAAGGAACATCATCAACTCATTCTCGGAATGATATATTTTCCATAGATTGGGAAAGAGAATAGAACAAACGAGTTCTGAAAGTTGTTCGACATATGACATATTTCGAGTTTGATGATGAAAGCATGTGCTGACTGGGCTTGTAGAGTTCGTCTGACTTTTTTTTATCGCTTGGAGCGCACGATAGGAAATCCCTATAATGTTCAAAGAACATCGTGCGTTCCTAGAGAGGATAGGAACAGGAGATAGGTATTGGGATTTTTTTTGAACTTCTGGAGATTATATGTTCATGGGAATACTTCCTCATATTTATAGAGATGGAATGCCGATATTTCTGAAGAACATAATATCTATAGATAGAATAGTGAAATGTCGCTGAATTTACTGCGTTGTTCCAATGATATCAAGGAATTAATGAGTGTGGTATCGAATCTCATAATATTTTATGTAATGTAAGAAAGTGAAAAATGTACCGAGGATTCAGCTGAGCCAAGAATTGCATGATGCATAAAATACAAACTATAGATCTCATTGGAGCATTATTATTAGTTGACGGGGTAATAAAATGTTCAGGTTCCGAATGAGGGTATTTTTTCTGATAAGGCGCGGTTCTATGGATTATATTCCCTTTCCTAATCTCGCATTTTTATTCGCAGCAGAACGTCTACATAAAGAATCTGTGAATATCATCCAGTATTGAATCGTCTATCAGAGTAAATCCCGTTAGAGAAATCAACTCACATGAATCTTGGCATAAGCTTCGCGTTCGGGAAACGCATTCTCTCTAGCGATCACGTCAATCACAAATCTGTGCTGATTATTCTCCGCCAAGTAAGTAGCAGTACAAATTTCCCCCTTGTCGCTGATGTTGAACGGCGATGGAATAATGGATCCAGAGCTCCGATTCGAATTGAACTTGTACAGATTTGTCGCTTTGATGTAGTAAGTTAACGACCCATTCAAGCCCGAATCCGGATCCACTGCCGTCACGTTGGCAACAAAATCGTTGATGTTAGCCATGGCGTTGACCGCAGCATAATAGATTTGCTGCTCGAAAATCGGCGGGTTGTCGTTGAGGTCTCTGATGGTGACCTTGACCTTAGCGATGCTCCTGTCATCTTCGTCCGGTTGAAGGTCATCCGAGGAGACCAGGAAGTTTGGATCGTTGTTTGCTATCACTAGGAGGTCGTATTCTTCCGTTTGTTCCCTATCGAAGGACTTGTTGGCATATATGCCGCCGTCAGTTCGGTCTAGGTAGAAAGCGTCTTCAGAGTTTCCGGAGAGAATGTAATAGTAGACTTTAGCATGGTTACCCTCATCTCTGTCGAGAGCTTTCACTTGCCCTGAAAATCGATACTTTGTTAAAATGGCGTTCTTGTCGAACGATCATTAGAATCATCATCAATACAAAATAAATCTTCATTAATGAATTCAATGGTCTGCATTTAGAAAAAGCTATCACTTATTCCGAGGCATACGAAGAAGGTAAGTATCAAACATTGTTTCTTTCAAATTATTCAATTCGGAGCTTCGTAGTTCAAGGAGTTCGTTTCTTTAGCACATTGCAATAATTTTGGATGAGAATATAGGATTTCATTATATTCCTCTTTATAGTATAGAATACAGTTAAATTCACGAAAACATAATTATGTGACATAATTTCTTTGATGTTTCTTCCTGAATTACATTGCCTGCAAAGCAAGTACCAAAATAGTATAGAATATTGTATTTTGTGCAAAATAATTTATCAAAATCTACCGTAAATAAGTAATCTGCTTTCAGCTATCGGAAAACGCTCCAGAGGAAATTGAAATTTATTTTATGAAAAAATTTATTTTCAAATTTAAAAATTAGTGACAGTCATTCAACTTCCAGCTGTTGAAAAAAGACATCATCATGGTATTGGAAATTGAAAAATAATGATGAGGTCTCTTTACAATGGCTCAAAGTTGATGAATTTTCACTAATTTTCAAATTTGAATTTACCTTGGGAAAACCATTCTCCTCTGATGTCATTTTCAATAGCTATAAGCTGATTACTTAATTACAGGTACACTGTCTGATGATTACCATCTAATCGAAAGCGCTCTGCAACGAAAATTGTTGATGAACTATTTTGTACAAAGTTCATTTTGTACTATTTTGGTATGTCTACACGTGCACACAGCTAAGTAACCCCCACTGCAAAGAAAGTGGCCACGATCTTACTCATTTTACCTGCTGTACTTATGCTTGAATCAATATTTGACAATCATCACAATTGAAAAGAGTCAACTCCAATACCAATTTTCAGCGGCTGTTTATTTTTGTTGAAGAGTTCAGATTTGAATGATTTTTTGACGACGGAAAATGTTTGAAAATGACGATATTGAGAGAGTAAGGAAGACAAACTCTTTCTAGATCCAAACGAATAATATAACTTATTTGGAGTACTTACCGATCAATATATTCTTTGGATTATTTTCCAGTACGAAAAAGTGATAAGGATTCGTTGATTTGGATCCTGGAAATTCTGGTCTATTATCGTTTTCATCCACAAGTAACACCGTAAGGTGTCTGATGGTTTCATACCATTTAGGCGAACCATGATCTCTAGCTACCAGAATCAACTGAAATATTGAATAGTTCTTTTAAAACCAACTATAACTGGATTGCTTCTAAGTATCGACTGATTGACACGATACTATATATGACTACATTCAAATCATTTTCTCTCGAATATAAATATGTACTTGTATTGTTGAATGATATACTCACTTGATATTTTGGTTTCATTTCACGATCTAGAATTTGCTTGGTTTTCAGCTCTCCAGTGGTAGGATTTATGGAGAATTCAGTTGTTTCTTGAACATTGACATTATCAACTTTGAAATGATAGGTTACTTTTCCATTATCATGATCATCTTTGTCTATGGCTTTGACTGTCATAACCAGATAGTCTTTCGTAGCAGCATTCTGTGGTAAAATGGTAATATGAGTTTGTTAGACAATATATGGTCAATTTTGCTGGCCAAAATTGGCCGCCGGAACTGCCAAATTCCTGGGAACATTGATGATCGAGCCAGTACCAATAGGAGACTCTGACCGTCATCAGGGCCAGTACATGTCTGCCGATACATTCAATTAAAAAAAAAGACGACAGCCACGGGATACGAACCCCAGACCTCCGCTATCACTTGGTAACATATCGAACTCATATTCTAACTGAGCTACTATACCACTATTATTAAACTGATATGTGTGTACGTAATTTATTCAAATATACAAACGATGAACAAGGAAACAAATCCGATTCTCCAATTGACTACCGAATTTCTGTCATACCACCTATTTTGTGAGTCAGGCGACTCGCCTATTTTTTTCAAGGCCAAAGTTGATGACTTTCGTGATGATATTTAGATGCAGAATGGCAGATTATCGCAGTGGTTGACAGCTCGACTAGCAATCAGAATGCCCAAAGGTTGCGAGGTTCGATTTTTGACAGAGCAGAAGATTTTTATTTATAGAACGAGTTATAAATTCTAATTATCGTAGCCTCGGCCGGAGATGAGTCGGCACGATTTTCGCTTGAGTTTCAATTAATGATGCTGCTCCTAAGGTGGCGTTTGGAGTTAGTAACAAAGCCTACACAGAACACACATGTGCTGAAGGATCTCTTGTAAGGTTGATGTCCAGTTGGTATGTACATACATACAAACCAACGAAGTACTAACTCATTATATTCAAATGCAATGAATAAACATTATAGTGGTAGTAGTAGTTTATGTACTTGGTTGGTATGTATGTACAAACCAACTGGCCATCGGTCTTACAAGAGGTTCTACAGCTCATTAGTGTTCTGTTTATGCTTTGTTACTAACTCCATACGCCACCTTAGGAGCAGCACTATCAATTGTAACGCAACAACGAATCGTGCTTAATCATCTCCGGTCGTGGCTACGAAAATAAGAATTTCTAACGCGATCTTTATATAAGTATATGTTATCGGCCTTTCGATGTTCTGATTACTAGTCGAGCGTCCCAACCACTGCTTTTTCCGCCGTCCTGAAAATTAGATTTATCAACTGAACCTATGTGCTATACATACTCACTTCACCTAGGAAGTTTGAGCTCAATATTCCTGCGGTATTCTGTTCGGAAGGTCGTTATTTGTTTTAGTGTGTGAAAAATTGCATCTTCAATTGAATCGAATATTCGTGTACGTTCTGGTAGATACTACGTACTGCACAATTTTTTAAATGAAAATATGGCTGAACCGAATTATCCATATAAAGTACACGAGTCAGCTAACCCCACGTTATGTGACAATCAACCCCGACCTGGAGATGGTTGTCACAACGTGCCTGGTAGATGAAAACCACATGGAATGAAATCTGAATCTACTATCAGATAGCTATATGATTTTCACTAGTTGTTTTAAGTACAATATACAACTTAGCAAATTCGATATTGGATATTTCTTCAGAATCAATCAAATCGAGATTGAAAAGTTTGATAACCATCATAATACCCGGTTTCCCGTATCAGGCAACAATTGAGTTTTTACGCCGGCGGGAGTAAAAGTTGGTTTCTCTGGTAAGTAACAAGAGAGGGGCAGAAGTCTCGTATTATTCCCTAGAAAGATAATGTGACATATTTTCTCCCTAAGGAGTTTATACCAACTTTACATTTTCTGCATAGCTATGCGCTTTCTTTTCGGAACACCCTTCTCTGAAGCGAGTATAACCTGCATCATACAGATTTTTAGATATCACTGGTAGCAAGTTAAGAATTACTGCAGAAGCAGTATCAATAGTTTCTTGGGGTTTTCCCTCGATTTCATGTTCCATAATCGTTAACCATTTTCAAAGCTGTTTTCATAAATTCCAGTTCGATATTTGCTGTCACCATGGGTTGTCAACGAGATGCATGTTGTCCAGATACGAATTCCACTAACTATACTACTTCTAATTATGACATATCACTTTGTTCTTTCTTAATTTTTGTATATTTGCCAGCGTGAAAATAGTATATACACCTCAGGACAGAACGCTATTTTTCCCTCGGTGCTTTGTAGCTCTCGAGCTTCGCCCTCGAGCTATAAGTCGCACCTTGAAAAAAATCTTGTATTTTTGTTCCTTGATGTACTAATAATTCGCGTTATCTATCTATCGAGTTCACTACATACCTCCAAAACTTCCACAGTGGCATTCGAGAGTGCAGGCATGATGAATTCGGGTCTATGTTCGTTGACATTTAAGACGTGTACATTGATAACAGCTCTATCGAATAATTGTCCATTGCCTTCACCATCTCTCGCTTCTATCGCGAGTTGGAAATCCCTCGTTTGCCCAAGCAGTGATTTATGTGTATAAAGTATGCCAGTATCGAAACCCATTAGGAAAACATCTGAAAACATTTGGACAAGTTTTTTGACAATTTTTTTTCAATCTCAAATTTCAATAGCTTCATCGAAAAGGAATTCTACCGAGAAAGCAGGTGGGTACTTCACTTCTACGAGTTCACGAGACACAGGATAAAAATAGTTTTTTAAGGATTAAACGACTTACCTGAAGGAAGTTCAATCCAAATTATACGATATTGGTCACATCCGAATAGATCACCCTGTAGTAGTACTTCTTATCACTTTCCAGCGCAAGTTGAACGATATAGCTTTTTTCCGTTCGAGCGTTTTTATGCCTGTTGTCGTCTCCGAATACCTAGATTAGTCATTATACTTCTGAGCCCAGATCGCCCTAGGGGTGGGCCAGTTGGTTGTTAAGAACATATTCTTCGGGAGGGAGTTCCTCTATTCGGATGTGACCAATATCGTATAATTTGGATTGAACTTCCTTCAGGTAAGTCGTTTAATCCTTAATTATACTTCAATTGGTCACATCCGAATAGATCACCCTGTAGATGTTTAGAGATAAAATAGGCGATCTGATGGTTAAGGAAAAATATTTTCAATTCAACCATTCAATGTATAATACTCCCATTCAATTAATGAACATATAACAGTAATGCATTTATGTATAAGTATAATGCTGAATATAACAAATATATCATTAATCTATGTAAATAGTAATACAAACATACGACACATTTCTTATTCTATCATTTTCCTGATGTAATTAGCGAATACTTCTTGGGTAAGTACAGGTCTATTGTAAAACTTATTGAATATTTGAGATTTCTCAGACCATCCTGCAGAAGCTCTAATAATTTCAATGCTCATCCCTTTTCTGTTGGCCGCTGAAGCTGCAGCATGTCTTGTGCTGTGACTTTTAAATTTGGATGTATCGATTCCGCTCAGAGTAAGCCCCTTCTTTATCCAGCGACTAATCGTTGCTGTTGTAGCTGTTTTATGGGGTTTTTTCATGGTTATTATGAGGTAATCTTGTGATTTATCTCTGAGATTTTCTGTAACTGTTAAATAATGCAATATTGTAGATGTCATACAAAGTTCGGGTTTTTCCCTGAAGTATGGAAAAATCATTGTAGGTTGTGGCCTTTTTGGCGATGACGTTTTAATGATGTCGGTGATTTTTATCTCAATCCGATCATCATATTTGAAAATGTTTGAAACTTTGATTTTTGATAATGTCTGTACTCTCTGAGCTGTGGAAAGAGCAAGGAGCAGAACCAATTTGATTGACAATGTTTCTAGGTTCAGTTTTTGCAAAGGGTACAATGTTTCTAAAAAAGCAAGAACGGGGACTGGATCCCCAAATTTCTTCATATTTTGGAAAACAGGGTTTTATTTTGAATACCCCTTTCAGGAATCTATTAACAGAATCATTTTTCCAACATCCGTAATTAGGTTCAATGCAGATCTGTGAGCATTGAGAGTCTGATATTTTGCGCCATTGTCAAATTCATTCTGAAGGAATTCTAAAATATGTTTTGTTTCTGGATGAAAAATTATTTCGGATCGTTTGTTGCAAAACCTCCACCATTTATTATAAGTTGAGTTGTATTGCTTGAGAGTATTTTTACTGAGCGATGCTGTCATCGTTTCCATGGCATAAGTGGGTATACATTTCAATTTCAAGGCTTCCCTGATAAAACTGCTGCACCCAGGGTAAGTTTCTCCCAAAGCGGATGTGGTTCGCTGAAAGGAGATAATATCAAGTCATCCCTCGGGTGTAGAACAAGTGTTTCTGATATTATCATTGACTTCAGTTTGGGATACCATGCCTGAGAATACCACATTGGGAAAACCACTATGGACTCAGCGTGGTCTGTTTCAATTTTATTAAGGATTTTTGGCAGAAGTGCGAATGGAGGAAATATATATGACTTTAAGTTCGACCATGACACTGTGAACGCATCTACTTCCATGCTTTCTGGATCGGGATGCCACGATATAAATTTTTTACATTTCGTATTATTATACGATGCGAATAAATCAATTTCTGGCATACCAAAGATGTTCACAATTCTCATAAAATCGTGTCGATTTAAACTATATTCTGTATCGCATTCTTTTATTCTTGATTCTCGATCAGCATTGATATTTGATTTTGTATTAATATAGGATGCAAAAACAACTATATTTCTCTCTTCACACCACTGCCAAATCTTTCGCGATTCTTTGTTGAATTCTTCATATTTCACCCCGCCCATTCTATTTATATACGAAACAGCTGTAGTATTGTCTATTCTCAAGAGAATATGACAATTTGATAAGTTTTTTGCGAAGCACTGTAACCCGTAAAATGCCCCTCTCAGTTCAAGGCTATTGATATGGGATTTCTTTTCCGACTGTTTCCAAAATCCCCTTGCCCCTGTATCATTACAGTACGCACCCCATCCAGATTTTGAGGCGTCTGTGAGGATTTCTAGCTCATATTTTGGTGATGAAATGTTGTTATATAGGGTATCCATGTTTTCAAGCCACCACTGGAAGTCATATTTGAGTTCCTGTGGCAGTTTCATTAGTTCATTATAATCTCCATGAGCTTTTTTCAGGGCAAGATATTTAGTTCTTTCAAATTTTTTCGTATACACCCAGCCATATTTGGTTGCTGGGCAGATAGATGTCAAATGCCCAATAATTTTTGAGAACAGTCTAATTTTTATCACCGATCTATTCATTATGTCAGTAATTAGATTTTTAAGATTACGCTTTTTATCAAGAGTTGCACAGAAAGTCATTTTCTCCGTATTTAGAAAAAATCCTAGAAATTGTATCTCTTTCGTAGGTGTCAGGACACTCTTTTCCTGATTGATAATGAAACCTAACGATTCTGAAGTCCTACATGTTTCTTTAATATTTTTAATACAGTCCTCTTCGGTTTCTGCTATCAAAAGGGTATCGTCTAAGTAAGCTACAGATGTATGATCATTAGCTCGGAGGTGAGATAGCACAGGTTTCAGAATTTTTGTAAAAAGAAACGGTGCCGAGCACAAGCCAAAAGGTAAACATTGAAATTCGTAATAACTGTTATTGAATTTGAATCTTAAATATTTTTTATGAGTTTCATGTATCGGTATAAGGTAGTATGCATCTTTCAGGTCCACTGAAGCCATGTAACTGTTTTCTGACAATAGATTTTTTGCTGTTCTTACATCTTCCATTTTGAAATGAGACACTGACAAGTATGTATTTAGCTTTTTCAAGTTCAAAATGAACCTATACTCGCCATTTGGCTTCTTTCTCAAGAAGTAATGAGACAAGAATTGATTTTTACATTTGTTTACCTTTTTTAATGCTCCTATAATGAGCATTTTGTTTATGCAAGCGATATGATTTTGTGTTTCTTCCTTTCTTAAACTATAGTCTGCTTCGGAAATTTTTTCTGGATGGGTTTTGTTACAAAAGGTAATTTGTATCCCATTATGCAGTCTAATATATATGAATTGCTTGTGATCTTCTCCCATTCTTTGTAATACAGTTTTATTCTGCCAGCATACCGGTTGCTTACCTTCATCGTTTCTTGTTCCACGTCCTCTTGTTGTCCCTCGAGTATTTCATGTTCTGTCTCTGATGATTGTCTTTGTGGTATGGTCTGCTGAATTTTTCCCCTCCCTGCTTCTTCGACTTCCATCGGCTTTTCGAGGCTGCAGTCTTGAAGTTTTTTGAAGTTGAGGGTACTGCTTTCAGTTCTTTCACCGAGGTTTCCAGGTTCTTTGCAGTTTTGCACTTCTCGGAAAAATCTGCTCCGAACAGAAACTCGTCCGGATTTTGGGCCGCTGCTACTTTCTGAATTTTCGGATTGAAATGAGGGTATAAGAGAAATTTTCTGTGGTTTGTGATTGAATGTAGTCCATCACACAGTAGCATTCCCGCTTGCACCATATTAGTTAGTCTTGGGTCCGGATCTTCTGCCTTGTTTGTTTGGATAAAGCTTGTCAAGGCTGAACCTAATGCTGTCAGACCCTTGCCTAAATTTGATTGGATGTCTAGCAAAAAGGCATCTTTCTTCAAATCCGCAGTGGCTAACATTGCCGAGACCTCTTCATTTAGAGATGGCTCCCCCAATGTTGTGCAGTTTTGAGGGACTTGCCACAGTTCAAGGAGTTTTGCTTTTTCTTCCTTTTCCAGGCCCTTTGTTAAATAGTTCTCCCACCTTACAGCGAGTCCCTGTTCGAGATCAGGACCAAACTTTTTCTCTTGAGCAGGGTTGGCACCTAAAAGTTGGGAAAGGTCTGGTTTCTCTGGAGTGGGAGACTTTTCTCGTTCCTCCGAGGATGAGTAACTTCGATCTCTAAAATAGCTGCTGTCGCTGTCTGAGTCAGAACCTATTTACGAAAGAAGAGGTTCACTTTAATGAGATCACTAGCATGTTTCTCAGTTCTGATTCATATCAATTCCTCAAAGCTGTTTATTTCACAGCCGAGTACTATGCATGTATACATTATTATATTGTTACTGTATTTAAATAACATTGTATAATGTAAACATGCACTCTCCCACTACTGCCTATTTAGCAGACGAGTATACTATATGCTCTGAGATCTACACCTTGTATATTTCATAGGCGAGTATAGCAATTTTCGGTTGGAATTTTATTTTTTGTCTATACCATGTCTATTTCACAGGTAAGACGAATCCACCATTATTCTCAGCACTGTCTATTTCACAGGTGAGTATGGTTTCATTAATAACACTGTGTCTACTATGTAATGCTTTTTCTAATTGAAATTAATGTTTTTGTCGTTTACTTACTTGAAATTTCGTCTAATCGCTTTTCTAGTTTCCGCATTTTCCTTTTGATTTCCTCATACTCTTTCGCTTTCCTTTTGTTATGTTTCTTAGGCATCTTCGAAATGTTTGATTCACTACACAATTGTTTCACTGATTGATAAATTCACCTTACACTTTCAAGCGCAAGAAGTATAATGACTAATCTAGGTATTCGGAGACGACAACAGGCATAAAAACGCTCGAACGGAAAAAAGCTATATCGTTCAACTTGCGCTGGAAAGTGATAAGAAGTACTACTACAGGGTGATCTATTCGGATGTGACCAATTGAAGTATAATTTTCAATACCTCAAGAACGCTTTTTATTGTCGTGAATTCGAATTCGGTAAATGGCTTCAATTAGTTGTACGATGAGTTGATGTCATTCAGGGCGTGGAAAAAATTCTGAATGATTGAGAAAAAACCCGATCACGAATCTGTGATTAGAGGTCTGTTGAAACCAATTCTCATTGTTGTGATAACTACAGTGCTGAATGTCGATTATTCTCAAAGTGTTGAAACTCCTGTTCAAATTTGTTGAAAAATCACATTCAGCTAAGCTAAAATGAATTCAATAATGCACTTAGTAACTTCAAAGAAAGATTAAAAGTCCTGATGAAAAATAGTCAGTTTTTGTTAATTTGTTGATGAATCTCGTTCCGGAACTCAGCTTTGACATATTAGAAAATAAATATACCACCAAAGTCTTATTATTTTAGTGAGTAGGTACTCTGTAATGATATTATGAATCTTAAGTATTTCTTTTTCCATTTGTTCGATATATTTGACGCAAAATAGACCTTGCATACTGCATAGCCATTTTTTATCAGTTTTTATGATGATAGAACATTAAATTCATTACGAACAAAATATGTTTATATAGATCTAATATGATATGATAGGAAAAGTGAAGCATATTGATACTTGACATTTTGTATTTTCAGGTATCTTGTTCCATCAGATTTGAATGTGAAGTTGATTTTTTGGGAAAAAATCTGCAATGGAAATTGGCGAAATTCCACAAACTTATTCACTTGATGAATTTTTTCGAACATCAAAAGGAAAAATTACATTTTCATCGAAAACGGTGTTTTTACGGAATTATCAAGAGAGTACCTTCTTTATAAACAATTATTCGAAGAATCATATTCTGGTACTGACAATAAGATGAATCGTGGAACAAAAAAACTTCGGTCCTTGTTATAGCATCGGTTACGGGTTTTACCAGGGCCTACTCATAGAGTATCTCCCTGTACCTATATTAAATCATGTTTCCCTACGATGAAATGATTTGATGTGAGATGAAATTACCCCATGGTACCAAAATTCATGATCCTATAATATCGATAGATTGACAAAGATAATCAATAATAACTACATTTAAGGATTCATGTTTAAAGGGCTGTAGCGCCCTTAGGAAGCATTTTTAGTCACATGTTGATAGAAACATTTCTTCTTGATTATATATTTAAAATCAACTCCCGAATTTTTCTTCTCTTCCGCTAGTATCTCTATTCTTGAATACAGAATGGATTCCTATATTCTTTTCGGGATGAAAGTAGGTGAATAAACAAAAACTTGAAGAGGAATTCCACAATTTTGGGAAAAACAAGATCTGATTACACCATTGTAAGGTTCCCTCAATTCCGAACCTGAATAGTCAAGGTGCTTAGTGAGTCATGGAGATATTTCTCAAATCCTATTCAAAATTCTTGAAAATAATCTCACTAAAAAATGGCAAACATTCTATTGAAGTTTTGAAATTATGAACTCTTGTATAGTATTCGCCTGAATTAATGATTCCTCATGTATATGACTATCAGCTGATGAGATATAAATGAGAAATGAAAACAGTATATTGTTAAAAGAGCACGGCATGATAGTCTTTTTCCACGAGAATATAGAATAGCATATAAATAGAAGATACATTTCTTCGGCTTGTAGCCATCTGACTTTATCTTAAGTAATAATTATTTATTCGACAGGACTGTGAGATATGGGACTATGTGAAATAACACATTGAAGTCATTCTGATATCAGATACGGTTATAAAATTGATTCATTAAACACAGTAAAACAAGAGCAATTTTGTATTATATATAGCTGTGGAAAAAGTTCTTACCGTTATCGTTTCCCGATAGGATACTGAAATGAATACTTCCATGAACTCCTGAATCCTCATCTGTGGCATTGACTTGAATAATGGGCACAGGCGGATTCAATCGCACATCTTCCATTATCGTTACATTATATTCCTTCTGGTAAAATTGCGGCGCGTTATCGTTAACGTCATTAATCTTCAGGTAAACAGGAACCGAAACTGTCCGTCTTAAGTTACGAGGTGCGAGGTCGAAAGCTACAACTTGTATCACAGTCTCATTAATTCTCTCGTGATCAAGAAAGTTAGAATTGGCCACTGTTATATAGCCGGTTTTATTGTCTATCGCGAAGTTCTCACTATGTTCACCAGCTAATGTATAACGCACTTCTCCATACTCTTCAGCATCTTTATCTAGTGCTCGGACAGCTAGTACTACAGTGCCATTTGGTGAGTTTTCATTGATAGTGGTATTGTACTGGTCCTGGGTGAAGGTAGGATCATTATCGTTCAGGTTGGTAATCTTCACTAAAATGGTGGCAGAGGCATTCAATTGAGGGAAACCGGTATCAAACGCGAGGATGGTGAAATTGAGCTCTCGGATCGTCTCATAGTCGATTTTTTTCTTTAACTGTACTATGCCGGTGCCGTTGTTTATCTGAAAGTATTCACTCTCTGGATGGATGATATACCCAGCAATATCAGAATCCTCATCGATAGCTTTATAGGTAGCCACAATGGTACCAGCCGGCTGTTCCTCTTTGAGCTCTAGATAATAATTGGGGTTTTCTGCAGTCCAGGGAGGTAGAAACATCGGAGGGGAATCGTTAACATCACCAATAGTGATAACCAGAAGACCTTGTCCTTGTTGTACAGTCGGTGCCGTTATATCGGTGACTAAGATGCTTATCCTTACCACAGATGCTATGTCTCTCAGGATAGGGTTCGCTACAGTAACTCTGCCAGTATTTTTATCGACAGAGAAGAAATCTTTGAATTTGCTGTTTTCCAATACTTCGTGACCATGCTTATCTAGTGCTGTTATTGGTTCAGTTGCAGCGAAATTTAGGGCTTCGGTTGTATTCACATCAGGATCCAAAGCTGTTAATGTATAAACCAGTGAACCAACAGCAGCGTCTTCCATAACCTAATGAATAGAGGAATATATTCGGAACCATTCGAGAAGGACTCTAGTATTCGGATTCATTTCAACGATGTGAATATGAGATTCGCGCGAAATGCTGAGGTACAATCAATTGAACAATGAAAAATACTCCAAAATTCAACATCTCCGAATTCCTATTGATTTGTATCTGTAGGATTCTAAAGTTGTCTGAGGTATAGTGCAACGAATTCATTGTTTCGTATATATATATCGACGCGTCCATGCGAAAACGGCACAAATGCCATCGAGTCAACTTTACAGGAGAGACTAAAAACTGGATCAACTTCATTCGTAATTGCCACACAAGTCTGATGGATGTCTTCAATGAAAGATTGATTTTTTTCATTATTTTTGATGAATGTCTGATGAAGACTCTGATTCTCGCCCTCATGCAATAAATGAAAAATTGAAAAAATGGCGCTTGTGCCAGTCCACACTAGGTACAATGTGTTCATGCCAAAAGTGATATTGGCTTTTGTGTCATCGAACATTCAAGGTTTTGCTCGAATTGCCGCTTATACAGTTGATATGCCAAGTTAAAATTGATGTGTGTGATTTCTCATGTGTGTCGTTTATGCCACCATGATGATCTACAAAATATTCCATCAAAAGGAAAGATTTTCATCTTGGAAAAATCATGTTTTGAAACTGTGAAACGATTGAAAAATTTCTTATTCAACATGTAGTTTCATAATCGTCTGATAATAAGGAATAATGAGGAACTTCCTATACAACAACTTTTTGCAGCAGTACATTTTCCACATAATCCAAATCTTCTCGTTCAGAACTACTGAGTGGCTCAGTTGGAAGTTCTCCAATATTATGTTGAGGCATTATGATATTTGAATCGTCGAAAAAATCTTTCTGGACTTGATTATCCAGTTCTCGAAAGATGATATCATTACTCAATGCTTCTGTTAGCATACTATCACAATTTGAAATGTCATTTGAAACGGTATCACAATACGGAATGTCATTCGAAACGTTATCACAGTTTGAAGATTTAGTTGAAACATCATTGCAGTTTGAAACCACTTGATTTTCAGATTCTTTCAATGCCATCAACAGAATTTGTTTGCCTCTAGAGATGTTCATCTGCAAAGTAAGGAAACGGCATAAGCGCCAAATATCAATCGCAGTTTTGAAGCTGTTTTATTTGAAATAGATTATCAACTTCCTACTGACATATCAAGCGACGATAGGTTTACAGTAAAACATAAAAAACTATGAATAATTGGATTTAAACATGTTTTTTCGATGTGAGGATAATGGATGTGATTCGCTATAAGCGATGGCATTTATGCCAAACAAGTTCTCATGATACTGTTTTGGCATTAACGCCTCATACTTTTTCCTCAAAAACTACGATTTTGGGTGATAAATACGTCATTTGAACTAGAAATACATGCAGATAGTTCAACGGAGTAATGTAATCAACTTCCATATGAATCAAATATTACTTACTGTGATCTCACAAGCGAAACACCTCACCCCATTGAATGCTTACTGGCTTTTGTGCCGTTTGATTTTCATTGAATATGGTCGAATTGGCGCATGAGCAAATTTAAAATACAAGAAAAGACAGAAAAAAGAATTTACGAATATATGCCGTTTTGACCATTGGATGCAGCATGTGAATACCAATTATTGAGTATCAAAAAGTGAGAAGTGGCCATTGTGGCGTTTGTGCCGTTTTGGCATCGACGCGTCGATATATAGCTCGTTTTCGTTATCTTTTCAGAAGGTATGGGCTCAAGAATTGAAAAAAAAAATGGTGGAAGTCTAATTGACGAGTATATTTTAGAATTTTAGATAATTCATAGGTGTGGTACCTACTTAATTAGGCGATGAAGTGCTGCAGGTTCATATGGATCATTAATGAAATTTCACAAAACTCTTTTAATTCGGACCATATCTTCTGCTTTTGACTACCTTTGAGAAGAAATCATTACAATTGCGTGAACTCTATAAAGTTTCATCGATGAATACAGACTATTCAATGATTTTTTTTTATCGCTTGGAGCGCACGAAAGGGAATCCCTATAATGTTCAAAGAACATCGTGCGGTAGGTATATCCTATTCGATATCTAAAGAATGATTCACGACAAAAAAATATACATCAAGAAATGACTGTTCTCTTCAATGGAAAGGGGGGTAGTGTTGAAACTTCGTTTCGATATCGAATTATACAGTTCTAATTTTTTTGTACAAAAAAGTACTTTCAACTTCGTCATGCATTTTTATGGTTCTGTATGATATGGAATTTTATGTTAAAAACTATTCTACTCGAAATTGGCGTTTTCTTTCAAAGTTCTACAAGATAGTGCTTCACTTGTATGAAATCTCGGTACAATTACATTTGATACCAAACAATTTAGCATGAAAACTTCGTATCGCATAATCACAAAAGATTCAGGATAGTTTCAACAATATACCCTACCTATTTAATTCAACCCTGAATGAAAAATGTTGAATTAATTGTACAACATCTAAAACAAATGTGATTTGCATTCAAACCATCTTCTGGGATATACAGTGTCATTCATAAAGTCGGCATCATATGGGAAAAACTTTTATTAATAACTTATTTTGGAATTCGAGTTGGACGTTAAGTTTTGCTTCAAAAAAAATTAGAAATGACCTATTCAATCGGGGTCACGTGACTTTCGCTACATGTCAAGAGTGACATTTTTTCAAATTAATCGCTGAAAGTAGGCTTATTTGTTCGAATATCGAAAAAGTTTACTTGAAAAAGTTTTTTCTATTTCAATTTTACACATGCTTCTTGAATTTGATCTTTCTATTGCAACATTTAGATTTTGATTTTTTTTTATTTTTCGAAATTTCTACAATATTTGAAGAATTGTTAATTCCACGTAACTACTTCATAACAGTAGCTTTTTCATGCTACTTACTTTCAATTACTTATTATCACTGATTATGGACAGAAATATGATTTTCTTGAGAAAATGAAAATACTCGCTTCCAAATTCTGTTATGTTTGATGCAAAGTTGATATATCGTCAAGCATTTAGAAACGAAATTCATTCAAACTGATCTTTTCAGTACTGAAAAAATCAATTCAAATGAATTTCGTTTCTAAATGCTTGACTCGAACATAACAGAATTTTGATGTTATGTTTGCATCAGACATAACAGAATTTTGAGGCGGAGATTATCATTTTCTGAAGAAAATCATATTTTTGTCGATAATCATAGATAATTAATAATTGAATGTTAGAAGCATGATGAAGCTACTGGTATGAAGTAGTTTTATCGAATTTACAATTTTTTTAATATTACAGAAATTTTGAAATTTTTTAAAAAATATCGTAATCTAAAAAATGTAATAGAAAGATAAAATCCGAGTCACATTTGTATAATAATAATTTGGAAAAAATGTCACTTTTGACATGTAGCGAAAGTCACGTGATCCCGATTGAGTAGGCCATTTTTCATATTTTTTCAAGCAAAACTTAACGTCCAACTCGAATTTGTATTCATATTTTTGGTAGTGTAATCTATGGTCAAAGAGTTGCACGCCAATTATGGAACTGATAAATTTTCGAAGTATTATTATGAATTCTGAGAAATTAACTCCAATTGTAAGGATCCCAGAAAAAAATACTTATGAGGAGTAGCGAAGAATTGAAGTTATGGTCCAGGTTGAAAGAATTCCTGAAAGTGATTTTCCAAGATATCTTGGGAAAACTATATCGCCTTGTTGTACTTCAACGCCTTGTAGAACTTGAATGAACCACACTTGAGATGATAGTATATCCTCAATACTTCTCGAATATCTATATGATCGAAGTACGTAAGTTGGGGAAGGGTGAAGAAAAAAAAATTCACAAAATGAGGTTACATTCATTGTATAAACTTTCATCAGGTATATTCAATGAAATCAACTCACCTCTGCCGTTTGAGTAGTGGGAACAAAATATGGCATTTTGTTATTCACATTGACGATATTGATGGTAAGTATTGTAGTTCCACTTAAACTTGGTACACCGTGGTCCATGGCAACAACTTCAATATGGTATGTGTTTCTTCGATCAAAATCTAGCTTGTTTGAAACCGTCACAATACCAGTAGAATTTTCAATCTTGAAATCATCGTATCCTCCTTTTTGTATGGCGTATTCAATGGCTGCATTGTCTCCACTATCGGAGTCCAATGCTTCTAACTGGGCAATGGATGTACCTATGAATATTCAGAATTGTTGTAACAAATTCATGTTGCCAACATTTATCTATGAATCCAATTATTTTTTTTATAACTTTATAGTGAAGAATGTGTTTTTTCCTAAGATCATTTCAGATACATAGTTCGTTCGCTCTCGCAACTCATGAGTAACATATCTGGTATGCTTATGGTAGTGCGTGTCCATGTGTGAATCATAGGGCTGATAGAATAAACCAAAATAATGTAAGTGATTCATATGAAAAAAATGTTAATCACACTTTTTTACGGAGTTAGTGACATATAGTAACTTCATCAGATTCATTGTACCTGTAATTCACCTGATGAAGCTACTGTATTAGCAAAACATGTCGTGTGATTGAGAGTTATTGTGGAAATCTAGGCGTTTGTGAAGTTTTTACATGTTATCGAATGAATAAAAGTTTTATTACCTTCGAAACGATTGGTATATTTTTCTCAATGCGATTTTCTTTAGAACGTTTACTATTTATGCAGAAAACAGATGAAGGAATCAAACAGTGGGGGCAAAATGGAAAATTTGTTACCTCTGTCAACAATGCCTCGATTGAACGGAAAAAATTCGTCCCCCTGTATAGAACATATTCACTGACCAGTGGTTCACATATTGAAAGAAGCATTGATATGGGTTAATCTAGTTGCCCGGATATCACTGACACCATGCATGGCAACCGTACAAACCGAGGTACAAACGTTATACTTGAAATATTTTTTTTTATTCAAAACTTCAAGGTCAACAGCTCCGATAGCCTTTTTTTTTAAGTAGTGAAATTATTTTGGCCCTATCATACACAACACCCGGACCCGGACCCAGACACCCTGTATATACCCACAAATTGATAAAATATATATCCTATTAATGATACAACAATAAAATTCGGATTGAGACTCCCAATCAAATCATTCGTGACCGCTAATCTAGAGCCATCACAACAGGGTGCTTCAAAAATGTTCACCAAGCAACTGATGACCCTAAATGTATATTAAGGGAGATATATCACTCTGAAATTGATAAAATTGAAATAATTTTCCCGCATAAATTCTAAACAAAAGAATCCACCAGATCGAATTTTCCTGCGTGAATGTATGTTGATGTTATACTTTTTTCTGGTACATTTCTACATGATATCATTATATAGGGTGTTTTTCGATAGAACAAAAAAAAAACATAAAAACGGTAATTTGATCAAAATACAAAAATTGCAACCGTTTCCGAGATATTTGAGTTTCCAGGTTTTTGTAGTGACATGATATCAGCAGATGAATTCAACAGTTATGATACTCCAGGAAGCCTTATTCTTCTTGGTCAGATATCATCTCTATTTTTCGTTTCAAAACATTCTTTTTCACGCAATCTTCGCACAACCCTGGAAATTGTTTCAGAATTGAACGGGAAACATCTCGGCATAACGAATAATATGCAATTTCATGAAATCCCAGTAAGAAATCACAGTGACTATATTATTGAGCAAAAAAACTAAAGAAGGAAATTTACAACAACAATGTCCATGTCATATACGTCGAAAGTAAGAAGAAAATAGATAATGGTTTACTGAACTGCTGATATCATGTGTTTAGAAAAACTCGAATATCTTGAAAACGGTTTCAATTTTTGTATTTTGATAGAAGTACAGTTTTCGTGTAATTCTTCTCGATCGATCAAATGTTCCAATTTATAAAAAAAAAAAAAATGAAAATACGGAGGAACAAACTTGTCTTCAAAAAATCATGACCCACCCTCTAAAAAAAAAACACCCTTTATGACAATGTCAGAGATGTGAAAGTGTATCAGGAGAATGTATTCCCGTTCAAGAGTTATGCGACAAAATTATCTCAATTGCATCAACTTTGGAAGGATTTATCTCCCTCAATATACATTTTGGGATATTAGTTTATTCATCAAGCTGAACATATTTTTCAATGAACAATCACGTGCAGAAAAGTGATAAACATTTTTGACTCACCCTGTATGAGTCTCAGATCCAGCAGCATGAGACGTATATATCATTACTTACCAGTCAAAAAACATTTTATACCTTTACCGTCATCATCTGCATCGGTGGAAAATATTAATGAAAGGAGAAATTAAGAATATCCTCAAGATGTAGATGATTTTGAGCAGATCATCCATTTTCATGAGATGTGCAAATTTTTGACTCCATAAACATTATTACCAGTAAAAAAGAACTGGCCACCTATAAAATTTAAGTATAATGATTGCTGACCTATTTATTTTGATGATGAATGCATGGTTTGGAAGAATTTCATTGAAAATTTCTGAGTGGCCGGTTTTTGTACTTGTGAGTAAATTATGAATTTGAAATACAGCTCACCTATCGGAACATCTTCTTGAACAGATTCAATATAATTGACTTCTGGAAATACGGGAGCATGATCATTTATGTCCAAAACTGTGATGTTCACTATGGATGTAGAGGTGTATTTACCATCAGTAGCCTGAAAGAGTTCAGCAATATTCATACGTTGTGTGACATGTGGGAATAGTTTGAAATACTCTTCAACTCGATCCGAAAATCGCAAATTCAATTGAATAATCACTATATATAATTTATACAGAATAACATCCTTCATGGAATCGGTGAAATTATTTTTGTTTACCTGAATATTAACAGGTATCATATAACTCACCATAACAGTCAACGAAACAATATTATCGGTATCATGGCTGATATTCAATCCCTTGTTGTTAGTTATCCTTATTATTCCAGCAACCGGCAGAATACTGAATAATCCTTCATCGTTTCCAGCTATTATTGAATAAGATATGCGTGATGTTTTGTCAGCATCAATAGCTTCTACAATTAAATCTGGATCTAATTTCACAGTGCCTTCATTTATGAAAGCTCGGTAGACTGACTGGGTGAATACGGGAGGATTATCGTTCGTATCGGTGAGATAAATCTTGAGCGGAACAGTAGAAGTTTGACCTTTGCCATCATCATCTGTTGCCTGGAAATAATATTTCGAGGTGGAAGTAATCTTTTATGAACAGGAACGTAAAAGATATGCACAGGTATGAGATAGGGATGCCAAGATGAGCTATCGAAAACCTAGACACGCGCGTATACGATTGTGTTCAGAAAAATGTATCTTATAATGAGGCATTATTTCTAACTCATATTCAATATTTCATGAAGAAGATTGAGAAATAGATATCTTTTGATGAATGTGAATACATACTCTTCGCATCAAAACTCTTAAGGAGATATATATTTTAGAAGACAAGTGTGAATATGGGCTTTTGAATCCTCTATTTGTGAGATAGTTACAAGGCGATATTCAAAGTTGAAATATATTGAACTATGTGCACTACTGGATTACTTGGAGATTGATCACTACAAAAAATCAATAAACAGTGACCATATGCATCTTATCATTCAAGTATGCGTATACAATAGACGTAAACAGTACGAACGCGTACAATATATTATAATATCTGGTTCACTCATGGAGACACAAGAAGTCCATATAGACTATAGACTATCTCTGAATATCTGTAATAAAGAAGTGGTTTGAGTCCTATGGGCAAGATCTCTCAAACCTAAATCTCAAGACTTGAAAACACCCTATCTAGAAATAGTTCAATTATTTTGTATGACACAATCGACCTCTATTCTCTATTCATAGGAATTCACAACAAGTACCTTCGTGAGTTGTTCTTCGGTCGACTGACTGTGAGAGACTTGCACATAATAGAAAGTACCAATTTACGCACTTGTTACATAAATAACTATTTTGTAATTATAAGTGTAACATACAATTGAATAATTATCGCTTTTGAAATATTGAATACCTTTGGTAACAATCAATTTATTAAGAAATGGGTAGCAATTTACGAATTTTTGCAGCACTGAATTACAAATAAATGTTGATATTATTATTATATTATCCTATGTCACGACTTTCAAATACATGAGAATTTATATTATCTAAAATAATGTCAACTCACCATGAACTGCAGTTGGTATTCTGCTTTCGTTTCGAAGTCCAAACAACTGACCGTACCAGGTTTTTCACAAAATGCCACTGTCACTGTACCCGTTCGATTATTGACGACAAATTTTTCTGACCCACTGCCTCCCAGTCTATAGACGACACCGTTCTCTCCGAATCGCCCGCTGTCCCTATCTTTGGCTACGATGGTAGTCACGAGAGTTCCTGGCGTAGCTATTTCCGATATCGTAGCTGAGAAGCTCTCCTGGTCGAAAACCGGCGGATTGTCGTTAATGTCTGCTACGATGATGGTCACTGTGGCCGTTGAAGAAAGCTTCTCCTCTGTGTACAACTCTTTGGCGATGGCTAGGATTATGAATTTTCGTTGGTTCGGATCTTCGTAGTCGAGGGAACTGTTCACTACGCGAATCATCGCAGACGTGGAGCCTATCGCCGTTTTGGGCTCGATAGAGAAGACTTCCGAAATGTCCATGAGTTCCAAAGAGAAAGCAGAATTATTCCCCTAGAATAAAAAGGAATCCTATAAATATCCTGATTCTCATTCCGAACATTAAGCAGGAATGAATGCAAATTGGGAAACCATAAAGAATAGTTCATTTCCATAGGTAAGTTCTAAGACGAGCTCATCCTGGTCAGCTGTGAAATGCAGGTAAGTGGCTATGTTTTGGTAAAAAGCTATTAGTTATCAGTTATCAAATATAGAAAGTAGTATCATAGTACCTACTTCGAGTTACCAACCCGATACATTATGATGACGTAACTGAGGTTACTCATCACCTTATTAAGAATACACCAAGGAGACGATCATCATTCTGTGGACTGAACCGCGGTGTGATATGGAGCATGGAATATTTCATGTAATGCTAAAATCAATTTTCAGAAGCCTATCAGAGGATTTTTACCAGGATCTGATCTGTAGGAAGTTACTTGCGTGTGATGGAGTGAGCAAATTCGATACATCCGTATACACTAGAGGGTAGTATTTTCAATCAGCTGCTGAAAAACTGGTGACCGATGACTACTGCCACATGGGCGCGGCATATTCAAATACTCCAGTGATAGGAAAGAGCATATTATATACTGTTTACCTATCCAAAGTGTAACGCTGAATTGTTATGGGTTTGAGAAATTAATTATTCCAGCATTGTATGAAGGTCGTGATGATGAAGGAGAAACCTATCATCATACTACATAATTTTGTCTTCAACCTATCTGAACTGTGTATTGTTCTCCTGGGTTATCCTGAATTGTTATGTATCTATAAATAGTATAGGTAATATACAGTCAAATACCTAGTTAAATTCAATAAGCAGGTGAAGCATATTCCATCGTTACATTTTCTCACATATCATGCATACACAATATCACAATTATAATGAATATCATTATTGGCGCCAGTGGAATCACTATAATATTCAAGTAGGTTCAATTATCTTCATCAACTGTTCCTGTATGAAACAATACTGAATGAATTATATTCATCCTCTTGCATACTGATTGCGTATCTTTATGAAATGCCAGTTCGTATGGAATCAATATTGAATCAATATGCTTCATTGTTGCTTCTGTTGATCCTATATCTCTCTAGAATACTCAAAGTTCGATCTATATCTTTATTGTTCAACAAATATTCAATCACTACCCATGTAGGTATTCAGAAGAGAAAAGCCCTCGTTGAAATTGGCCCCTATTTTTATTCAGGGAATGATCATTAATTTTTATTTCAACTCAGATGGTTCTATGCTCGAAAGAACGTTGACAGTATGAGATGAATTGTACCCAACAATCTAATAATTGGCTTCTGTTCTTCTTTGTGTATTAATTTTCTATCTTCGAAAACTCAAGAATCTAGGAAACACATCATATTGTCACAATATATTTCATTTCAGTTGTGTACCATCATTGAATATGGTTATTATTGGTTATAATGCATATTAACCCATAACTATTTCATAATTCAAAACACAACAAACCCTTCGGATGGGTTAATCAGACCGTTTTAGGGGTAGAGTTGAATTCAAAAAAAGGATCAGCTCTCTTTTCAATGATCTCACCATTTAAATAATATTAACAATAACAATAACACATTGGCTGAAGTTTATAAATAACCCGTTTTCGTGCAGGAGTCCCCATTGGTCATCATTTTATCAGCAGCTGATTGACGATCATTGATTGATCCTCTCGTACGAACATTATAGGAATTTCATTTAGTGCGCTCCAAGAGAAAAAAAAAGTCAATACAAGTCAGGTTAGAATCATCATAGTGCCTGGTTGGCATCATAACTAAAATCGATAGAATAATGCGACTAGAGCAATTACGTTGATTTTGTTTGTGACTTTCTTTAGACTTTCACTAATGATAACAGGAATTTGTGTATGAAAATATTCTACAAATTATCAATAATTTCATTGCCTTATAGTCAGGTGATAGGATGATCCGAGCAATATCCAGAATTTGATTGAAATAAGACGATAATGGCTTTCTTTTCGTAACTGTTTCAAATATATTATGACAAACATTTCCTGGACTTGATTTGGTGAATTATTGATATGACAAAATGCTTCATATTTCAATTCCTTGATACTGTCCTTACCTCGTCCGGGTCCTTGACGATCATGTCTAATCCGGGTAGGGCAGACCCTTCTTGTATGTTTTCCGGAATTTCGACGAAATACTCTCGCTTATTGAATTCTGGCGGTTCGTCGTTGACATCTTTGATCCTAATCGTCGCTTCGGCCTTGGCCATTGTGAGAGGCTCATGACTTTCTATACCATCGATCAATTCGTGAGCCTGCAACAAGAAATATGAAAATGAAATGAAATATAAAAAGAAATACGGTCATATGCTTAGAGTTGTAAAAATTTGAGCACGCCATGCACTACATCCATAGTACTATCAACCTATAATTCATCTATTGGGTAGACGTGGAGAAGGAGAAGTTGACCTTAAAGTTTCAATTTGTGATAAAACTATCTCTGGATTACTGTAAGAATTATGTGATAACCGTTCTTTCGTCTTTTACAAACATTTTAAATGTTCCGTCTCACATTCCTGTCCAGAAGATCATACATCGACTTTCAAAAAATTCTTCGCACCTCAAATAGTGTTATTATACCATTGGATCAATCCTCAATATTATTGTCAATGTACACATTCCAAATTATATTATAGTCGCCCTGATGATGGAAATATACATTTCCAGAAGCTCGGACAAACTGTTATGAGTTTATCTTTACTTTGCTGCAATCCCCACTAGCAGGCAAGTATCATCTCTAACGGTTCGGCAACGTCTCCCCTACCTTATACTTTATATATATGTAATCATGTGCTAACAAACAATGTTCATATAGATAGGTTATAACATATTAAAATGTATAGTTTACCGTTGAAACAACTACCTATACTCATTTCTTTGTGCCACTTTTTTTGATATTCTTCTCAGATTATTATGGGTTTTTTGACAGCTCCGGTGTAAATCGAAACGTTGGGTTGAGTTTGCATGCATGTATATTCTAAGTATATGGATGAAGTTACACTAAAGAGCGACGCACTCAACTATAAAATCATTTCGAAGGGAATCTTATATTCTTGAGTGCGATATCTGAGTGAAACGTTAAATCCTCTTGTACTTTGAAAAAACTGCGAAGAGTTTATGTATAATTATAAATTACGTTTAGGGTGGTTTAACGAGTATTCCCGATTTTATTTGAAATCAACATTTTCTGCATGATAATGCTGTATAATATTCTTTACCTCTATATGGAACTTTAGGATACCCTCGGGATTAGAGATGGCCTCTTTGTCCAGAGGTCTAGCAGTCCTCACTTCCCCTGATATTGCATCTATGAGGAAATAATCCATTGGATCTGAAAAAAATTTTCCTTTGTGGAGATAAAACCAACTCTTGATGTGTTTCACATCAACAACAAGAGACATCTTTGTGATAAGTAAATACTTATGTCCAATTATACGTATTCGGTGGGGATTGATTTTAATCTTTCTGTTGTTCTATCAGCATAGGAAATGAAGGGTTTCCTCAAAGTTCAAGTATCCATTACAACAGAAATTAATTTCACCAGTCAGTTCGATAAAAATTGCGAACGAAGATATTATAGTCATTAATAATTGAATATGATAGAAATACGATCCTGGCTTGTTTTCTTTCAAGTATTGTATTGTATTCATGGTGATGGAGAAATCATTGCCCAACGTGAGGAAGCGTGTTGCAATAATTTAACCTGTGAGTTCTTCATCTCCATTTAATTATCTTCTAGACTACGCATGAGATATTGTTCGCGAAGTGACTTCCCTTCAAATGTTTTACATCATGTTCAAATGAATAACCACCTAAACTTCAAGAATAAAATATTTATGCATATGAGGAAGATTAGTTATGATTTATTGTCTTGATAGTTTTGTATAATTGTATATTAAATATATATTCAAAAATGGAAGATGAATAATGATTCCATATAAACCTACAAAATTTTTGATAATTGAGTCAGGATTTGAGCTTATTTTTTTTCATCTCTTGGTTCGCATGAAAGGAAATCCCTATAATGTTGAAAAAACATCGTGCTTTATTAGGCAGGCTAGCGAAAGGAATTAGGTATTGCTTTTTTTTTCGAACTCCTAGAGGTTATAAGTTCTTGGGAATACTTGATAGCTAAAGGATCTGCTGACTGAGCCTGGCGAGTTCATCTGACTGGTATTGCTTGTGAGCGAATGATAGCAGGAATTTCTGAGGTTTATTCCCAGTGGAAGTATCTAAGGACTTTTCTACGGTTTTAACGAAGACAAAGGATTAGTGAGTGTAACATCACCCACTAGAATATGGCTTTTCTCCGGATGGAATCTATGAGAATCAGTGTATGTTGAAACCCCATATGTGCGAACGGTATTATAAATAAACTGACGTATCTGTGCTTTGTAGATCAAGAGAAGCTGTTGAGGTGGGAAGTAGATTTTTGCACGGAATGAAAATCCGAGCTCTCCAGATATTTGATGAACGTTATGTCGATTTTGATGATCTTCTCCATCACTTTGAAGATGACCAATCACAGGGCAATTGGCGGTGTCAATTTTGATTTACACTTCATGAAAATAATGGAAAGAATTCCATCAGGACCATTAGCTCCATTCGTTTTGAGAACAAGAAGAATGCGTCTGATAGTGCGTTGACGATATAATACGATTTTGGGCATACGATTTCTACGGGTGGACCGTCTGGAGGCACTCTTTCCTGGAAAGCTATCTTTGAAAAAATTTTTGCTCTCTTGCGATGTTGTTGTTAATGTGCCGTTGGCTTTGGAGAGTTTTGGAGATGAACTATTAGTGAAATTCCTTCCGACTGCTTTAGCGAGAGGTAGCTGCAGTTATTTGTGACTTCAACATATTCTGCTCTAGTCACGAGGTTAGCATTTTTGCGTTAGCGATGGCAGGCTGTTTGTTTCAAGGCAATACCTCTCTAGAACAGTTCTTGTTGAGCCAGGGTTTCGAAGGTGATGATCTTTTCGAAGAATGAGGAATGTATCCCAAGCGTGATTATCCCGGATATTTCCGCGGTTCTTCAGAATCAATGCATATTCTATGCCAAGAGACCTTCCTAGTCTTCTGAGTTATAATGCCATACAAGACATAGGGTGCTAGTGCAGTTGATAGAATGAAAAATGAGCAGGTTGTGGGGATGAGTGTTTATCAGAATTGCCAAGTGGAGCTCTTACATCTATGGTGCAGGGTGCTGAATTGTTAGTGGGGAATAAGTCAAGTGTGTTGGCCGAATGAATATTGACATCGGGAATTCGTGAGGGTTTCTTGATAAACTGCTCTAAGCCGTGAGTAATGGTAAAAGCCTAGGCTTGTCGTTCAGCTTCATCCGTTTTGGTGGAGTGAACGATCCAAGCAGTGTTGTGTACATTGAAATCACCCATGAGGGACATTTCATTCACATTACCCGTCATGATTGAAGCTGATATTCCACTGTGTTAAACCGTGACGTCATTTCCGTTTGGGTACACCTCCCATGTCTGCCTTGGGTTTACCAGCTCCATAGTTGGTTACGGTGGTGAAAGGTAATCTTGATTGTGTTTACAAATGATGAATGTGAAAAATAGAGGATAGGATGGGAACATTCAAATTGAAAATGAATGGAGTGGATGTCGAAGTGTGGAAGTTGATGAAGTGGAAGAAATAGGAATTCAAAAACAGTAAAGAATTTTGACGTCATTATGACGTAGTTGCCTCCCACGACCTTCACCTGAATACTCTGACCGGGTTCAACGGAGAATGTGAATGAAATATCCCTATGATAATGATTTCTGCTGCTGGATGATTCTGCTGAATTGGGTCAAGCCTGAGGAACTAGAACCCGAAGGGCTCTTCATAGGATGAAACATTTGGTGATGAGTAGAGGCAACAGATATTTGATCTGTTTCTGGCTATCGAGTTCAAATCACATTGCATAAAACTTATCTGGTTCCAGGACAGAGCATATAATGATGATAACGACAATTGTTAATGGATAATTAGTAGGTATCTACCTCCATTTGGAGAATTATCACCTCTTATACTACTTTCAGGACTATATTGGTAAAATATTTTCCGCTTCTCCAACTGATTCTGGAAACAGTATACCGTACCCACGGTTATGAAAATTTCACACCACGCGTATATCAGTTGAATATATAAAACCTGACTCCTTCAAGAAAATTATGAAATTTTTAAGCAATGATGAGAAATGGAAGAGAAATTGCTGAACTCACTATCCACTATTTCGTAAACAATTTTCCTTGGATTGCCCCTATCGCCATCTTCTGCATGTGCTGTCAAAACCAGCGTGTTTATGGGTGCATTTTCATCTACTTCGGAAGATAAGTTTCCAATAAAGTAGGGAGGAGTATCTTGAATGTCACCAACGTTAATTGAAACATTCGCAGTGCTGCTCAGTTCGCCATCCTGAAATCAATAGGTATTGTGTCAAGGTCTGGCTATAGGTATTATGTCAAGGTTACACTCGTATTCGAAGGAAAGTAGAAAAAGGGGCTAATTTCAAACTGCCCACAAAAAACCTTACTGAAAATAATGATAATTGAATGCGTAGAAGGCGGATTCAATCAAGTTTCCAGGTCAAACGCCTCGAAATAATAAATGAGGAATTAATGCTGCAAACATATGCCTTCAGAAAAATGGCCTGGCAGTTACATTCTTTCCTTTGAGAGTACTTGGACAAACATGCATTGATAAATTAAATTGATTGATTTATTTTTAAATTATCAACAATAAAATGAGTAGAGCAGAATGGTTATTTATATACCAAGATAGTAAAGAATATCATTATGACCCAGTGACCAAGAATATACCCTGAGACTTCAGCGAATCCCTGATCAGAACAGTGCATCTGGGCTAATTTGAATAGAGGCGGATATGCCTTTATTGACTAGTGGTTCATAAAATGATGAAAACTACCTTGGTAGTAAAAACACACTTTACGCTTCGAAAAAATGTTTCATAGCTAGTGGTGGAAAATAGTATATTATAAAACAAGCATTTGTATAGTGAGAGCTATTGTTCACAAACGTTAAGTTTATGTCACGAGCGTAGCGAATGCAATCGGGGGTAACGGTGGTGGTCATTAGAGTAGTGTTCCTTCCTCCAAGCGAAAAGATTACCGGGGTTCGATCCCTACTCCAGCAAATCTTTTTTTATTGTTTTTCCGAAGTAATTAATCAAAAAAATACTATAGAGGCATTTATTGGTTATTGCACCACTATAGCTATAGAACCTACCATTATTTTATACCTTTTCGAGGCGTAAAGAGTGTTTTTACAACCGATATAGTTTTCGTCATTTCATAAGCTACATATAGCCACCTCTATTAGAATTAATTCGAATTCACTGCGAGATTCGCAAGAATGGCACTCGAATCTAGAAGGTATTTATGAATTACGGCCTATTGTCATATGCTGTCATCGTCATGGTTACAAGATTTCAATTATTGAAATCAAGTTATTTCATAGTGACAATATACCCAGCAAACATTGAACTAGCGGGAGAAGTCCGGCCTAGTGCAGGTTAGTCTGGGAAAGTGACGATGTCGGGGTATAGGTAATGGGCCGATGATTTTCCCATGCCAAGTAACCATCAATTAAAAATACGATGATGGCCTTGTGATGGTAAGATGTCTGGAACTAATTGAATACTAACTAGATCTGGCCCTTTGCTGGCCAATTTCATATTCACTACCCGTCCCCCTGGCGGATGTTTTGGGAACGTCTACATCAACAATCAGCTGATCAATATCATATGTGACAAAGATGGCTGTAACTCTCGTGAGTGGTGATCGCGTACTAGTTTGTTTATGTCGAATTAATGTGGTCCTCTCTTTCCGTGGTGGTTATTTATGATGGCAGGAGTTTTCTCAATCGATAATAATAGAAGACAGATTCTTCAATTATGATAATATTGAGTAAGTATCAATGTACGTACATAGTGTTTTGAATGTCATTATTTGATGCATGTGTTTGGTATCTCGTAACCTCATATACCTAATGATTATGATAATTGGAGTTAACTACACTTCTCTAAAAGCAACATTTTTAACTCGTTTGTTGCTTTCGAAAGCAATCTCAGGTTATGTGAACCTATTTCTATATTGAATAACTGAATAACAATAAGATTTCAGCTACAGAATTACCTGTGCCAACACCATAATGAGAATTGAAAAGCTCCATGTTATCACGTCATTTGACTATATTATCAAGTTATGAACTCATGCAACTCATATACCACTAATATAAAACAAATGATGCATTTTATGTTTCAGATGTACCTCACAACAAAGAATCAACTTCGAAGGAATGCTATCCAATAAGATGTAGATACCACACACCAACCAGTAAGCAGTCACTCCGACAAGTTTCATCGTTGAAGAACAGAGAGGTTAAGAAGATATCATTGTGTCATTCATAAAATTGTTTTCTTTAAATCTGGTATGTGTCTGATTTATGATGAGAGGGTTATGTTGTGAAATAAAGAGGTACTAGAACTTTCAGATCCATTGGACCCCTAAAACCCCTACCTCTCCCCTACCTCGATAGTATGTAACCAATGTCGTTAATTGGCCATTACAGTCCCATCATTTGAGTATATGCTGGGCCTGCTATGGGAAACTCAATGTGTCGATTATGTTGTACTGGCCTTTTGCCGGGGAACTGAATACGTTTGCTGGGAACCCAGCACTGGGACCAGCTGCCGGCCGCAGTGTACTGATATATAGAGTCCCGCATATGGGACCATTCACTGGGCCGCTGATGTCAGGTATGGGAAAAATATATTAGGCCATTGATGCCCCATATCAAAATGTTTGCTGGGTAGGTATATTCCAGTTCCACAGAACTATAATACTTAATTGAAATATATCGCTAGTGGTGGAGTAGTATATTATGTAACAAGTGTTAAAAAATAAGTCCTTCCAGTAACGATTATTTTAAGCACGAACGCAGCACAGCGGAGCGAGTGTTTAATAAACAAGTGTCTGGAAGAGTTTATAAACGCGATTCATACTATACTTCTTCTACGAACTCATAATTCCTCTTTTAGACAAGATCCCATAATTCCTAAGATTAGATTAACTCGCCTGCCAACCTACAAAATACGAAAGGAATGGGAAGTGAAAACATATAATACATAATACTATATGCAACTGCATGCAACCAACGAGACACATATAAGTTATATTGGTTGTAGAGGTCTCCAGTTCATGAATTTTTATTGAAATGGCTTGTTTGATTGATTTTGTGAATAAGATTTCATCTGACGTACGTATAGTAAATAAAAACTCTTCGATTTGCTAAGGTGTGAAAATTTTCGATTTCTCTGGTTCGTATCCATATTTTGATGTGTGTTTTAGGAATGCAGATAATTCTTGTTCACATAATTATTGTGTTTCACTTAGCACAGAATGAAATAAATATGCAAGTACATAAAACATAATTATTCCCTTCGATTTCACTTTCGTCTACATTTCGCATACATTCTTAATGGAGAATTCTGATACAAACAAAAATTATTCGAATAATTGTAATTGTCATCGATTGCATCAAAATTCGAAAATGACAGTTGACAGTTCCTACAATTGACAGGCCAGACAGGACTCAAACGACTGAAAGTGTGTTTAAAAACTGTGTTGCCATGGTAATGTGTTTATGAAATTTGTGTTGCCATGGTAACATGTTTGCTTTTTTGAATGAATCTCTACGCTGAATGCCATTTTAGTTATGTGAGTAGAAAAAAGATTCAATATACCTACACCTTGGTAGTGAGGAATACTATTACCACGGGGCCTTATATGGCTGGAGCTTCAGAAAATAATCGTGGTTCTTGGGTAATTCTGTTATTTTTTACTACGTTTTGGTGTAGAAATAAATGACTATTTCGAAATGTCTACAAAAGAGATAAAGTTTACAACTTACTATTGTTATTTTATTTAAAAATAGTTATTATAAAAATATATGGAAGTCGGAAATATACCAAATAAGTTGTAATAAATGTGATGAACCATATATAGGACATACCAGGCGACCCACAAAAACAAGGTTCAAAGAACACATAGCACATTCAAAATATGGTAGGTTAGATGAATCGGGTATAGCCAAACATATGTTAAATCACAAATATGAAACACATAGTTTTAAGCAAGTAAATAATACTAAAAAATCAGACGCATATGAAAGCTCATAGAGATATTCAAGAATAATAATGTAATGAATGAGGATTATGGACCTATTCCATTATAGCCCTCTATATAGTTCAGTAATAAAGAAATTGAGATTAACGGTTAGTATTTCTCACGGTTGGGTGAACATATACCCAGTATATGAGCAGCACACTAAAATCTGATATTTAGTTTCGATCTTCTCCTGAAGATGCTAACATAGTTAGCGAAACACGTGTCGAGGCGTTCGAAAAATCGGTTTGGTTAGTGGTTGAACAGTGTAGTGTATGTAATATACGATTTTATTGTCGTAGGAACGAATAATTTAACTCTCTCATTATGAAGGAAATGGAACATCAAGATCCGACTCCCGTGTTTTGTTTTTGGTGGAGAGACGAGTAAATAACGGGAAACATACCGTCGCCCTGAGAACGAATCCATACCGCTGCTGTTCGGCGTAGTTTAATTTTCTCCGTAGGGTTATCGCACCTTCGAACGAATTCTGCTCGGAGGAGAGCGTTTCGATATTGAAGATTTCGCAGGCATCGCGGTATTCCGGGATATTTATGCATTCCACCTCGATGTTCGATCCGGTCGTATCCTTATCGGCGACGGTGACGCTGGAAAACACTCGTGTTCCGGGCATGGCGTCCTCGTTAACGATGATTTCGTACGGCGTCTGGAAATGAATCGGTGAAGGCGTCAGAGGTCGCATGTAGCAAACACATCGATTACGATTCAATCAGCGGTACCTATTTGGTCGCAAAGGGAGACAAGTTTGCTAACCATTAGCGAAACTTCAATAATGGCAGGTGAAAATGGAACAAGAAAACAAGTTGATTAATATTGATCAACTGAAGTGCTCAAAGGAACAAGTGGACCACTGGAATATGTGACAATTCTCAAACTGCCATATCTTTTTTCAGAAAATGAATGGATTTTCAATCGGAATGCAGTGCATGGAAGATGCGATCTTTCTGTTGCTCTGTGTTCGAAAAAATGAAAAAATTCAAACGCTTCCGTATTCCAGGGAACTCTTTTTATTTTTGTTATTAAGCGTTTTTTCCGAACGTTCAAGCCAATATCTTGAAACGGTTTTGTAATTTTCCATATTCCTCATACAGGATGTTGGAAATCGATGATTTTTCATTTTTAGGTTTTCATCGCATCATTTCCGATTATAAATTTATACAAGCCACATTCGACGTATTTTGCCACTCTATACGATGACACACATCCTAGAAAATGAATTCATATTTCGAAATCATCGGCAACTTTAACAGAAGAATATTTTTTTTTTCAGAAATGTTCAGAATTTGGTAAAATCCTCTGTTCAGTTTGGTGCTGCCATAACCATATGCTATGCTAAACACAAATCCTTCATTTGGATGCTCTGCTCAGTATGTCAAATTGATTTCGTGATTTTTCAGATAAGGCAATCCAAGGGGGCGCAAGGAGGCCCTTCTGGATTTTTCTTACCAATTCATACAATAACGATGCTACAATGGTTTCAAGATATTCCTGAGCTGACATGAAGTCAATAAACCTATTAATCACAAGTTTTTTCATCGCGTAATCGAAAAGCAATCGTAAAATCTTTTTATTGTAATTAACACTCATTTATGCAATTAATACCACTGCAACACCCAATATAATGGTTCTAGAGGAGTCATTATATTGGGGGTTGCAGTGGTATTAATTGCGTAAATGAGTGTTGATTACAAGAAATCGACTTTTTCGATTGATTTTCGATTACGTGATGAAACACCTTGTGATAAATAGGTTTCTTGACTTCATGTCAGCTCAGGAGTATCTTAAAACCAATGAAGCATCGTTATGGTATGAATTGGTCAGAAAAATTCAGAAGGGTCTCCTTGCACCCCCTAGGATTGCCTTATCTGAAAAATTATGGAATTTTATGAAAATTCTGTATACTCCACTGGATTCAGGATGTCTTGAAATATTACTGATCACAGTTTCATCGAAATCTGTACAGTAATAAAAAAGTTAAATTCCTGAACATGAATTGGTGGGTTGATTAAACGGCATATTTGTCAAATTTCATTCCTTTATAACTTTTTTATTGATTGACGCATTTCAACGTAATCTACATGTTACCCATTTGAAAATGTCACAAATCCAGTGGTGTAGTCAGATTTTTTCTAAAAAAATCGCTAGTAATTTTTTTAGATTTTTGACCTTGAAAAATCAGATTAGTTGGCCCTGGAAATGGAGATTTATTCATGATATTTGGTGTCCTAATAGACTTTCTGAATATCTACCTAACAAAAAAAAATCATTCCAATCGGTTGAAAAATGTAAGTTTTATAAGGGTGCTTCCATCTTAAATGGGTCACACTGTATATTTCGAATGGAACACTTTGTATTTCATTGCATTCTTAGATTCTCCCCGAAGAGCTGATTGCATCAATGCATCTCGCTTGGGGTCTAGCTGAAGTGATCTCAGGGATATAGGGTGTTCAAAATCGAGATTTTTCTAATTTAGCATTTTTCTGTGTCAAAACAATTCATTTTGATTCACTATCTACTGACATTTAACTGAAACAGATACAAGGTAATCAGAATTCTGAATCTTATTGAACGTTAAGAGGTATAGGGCATATATATTTTCATTGAACTTTTCTTCGTAAAATGAGCTAAGAAACCATATCCTTCATTTCCAGCTAACAATCAAATTACACCCTATATATATCTACACTTATTCCGATCGAGAATAGATCTAACAATATAGGTCAATATAGGTCAATATTTGACCAATGATGTCCTTATAAATCACTTCATTGTTCATCAATTAACATTGAAAAGAGTCGATTTTGAGGCTCATAACTTCACAGACGTTTTGAGAATTATCGAAGTAATATTGAAAAGTCGCAATTCCAGTTACCTTGATTTTTCCAAATGATGAATTATAAAACATTATTTTCTTACGAACAATTTGACACCACACAAATTCATTTCAATTTCACGATTCATTCTAGAACGAAAACTCAAAATTTCAATGAAAACGACATAATTGGTCAAATATTGACAAATGAGTAGGTATTGTTAGATCTGAAGTGTCATTATTGATCGAGATAAGTGAAGATATAATTATATAATATCCTATTCAAAAATCGAAAGTTGTACTAGTTGGAGTCAAATATCGTTTTATCTATGTACAGTAATGCAAAAGTTATAGGCGATAGCCACCTTGTAGGTTTCATTACATTTGTAGCAGCAATAAAGTAGATTAACTATATTGGCTGAATTCCTATCAGCGCTTCGGCAGTCAATCTACTACTTTGCAGCCTACATAAAAACAAATAACTGTACCTATCAGATCTATAATTGACTCCATTCTTCTGTGAAAAATCCGGTGAAAAATATTAGATTTATCACGAGAGGAAATTACTTTTCAACATAATCTGTTCTGCCAAATCTAGATGAAATTAGGATAACGATGTATGATATAGATCAGGAAGTTCATATACCTATGCCCCCTATTCTCGAATTCCTTTCATATTCATGTGAATCAGTTTAACACAGAGCTTGACAGTTTTATTGCCTCCGAGTTCCTGTGATGGAGTGATATTGTGTAAATTATCAGAAAACGTTCAATTGCTATATATATATCAAACCTCTCCAGCGAATTATGAGATGTGATGTGAAACATATAGTCAATAACAACAATAATTGATTCTAAAAATGTAATGAATAACAGGGTATTTTATTCGAATTAACGAAATTGTAGTTTCAGTACTGGGATTTCTCAGGAATTTCAGATCTATCAGACGATACCTCCAACTTTCAGATTTGGTCAATTAATCAATCAGCCTGAAGTGTAATTATTAATGACGAATTTTTGAATGATTGATTTATCGGAATCAATAACGCGTTCATATGTAAAATGATTTTATGTTCTTAGCTAAATATTCAGATAAATACAAATATAGTAATATCCACAAAAGTTCATGGATGAACAAAAACATATAACATGAATGAACGAAGCTGGTAGGTAGTTGAAATATTTCGCTTATAGACCAATCATAATCGGAAGGAACATATTGAGCTGTAACGCGAAAAATCGACATGTGAACTAAGCATAATATTTAATTCAATGGATTTGTTTCCGACATGTATGTCTGTATATATATATATATATCCATTTTTCCATATTCATAGTATATTTGCGAATATTCCTTTTCAATATGATCATATGCACCGTTGTCATTTCTGGTTATGCCGGAAATCGTTGTCAACTTTGTTTTTTGAAATTTAGTGGTGTGCTCTTCATTGCATAATCTTTATATTCGATAAGGAGAAAATATGAGGTATACTCAGCTACGTTTTGAAAGAAATCAATATTCAAATACATTCCGCGTACATTTCAGACAGGTACTCACATTTTTAAATTCCGGCTGATTATCGTTTTCGTCAGAGATGATTACCGTGATAGGAACTTCCACGATATTATTTTTTCCTCCTCCTTCCACTTCATCCTCTATGCTTACAATGACATTCAGAGTGTTGTTTGTCTGAAAAAATAAAATAAGAGGATTCAGATGAAGCTTCCTGAACGTTGAATGATTACCATAACTAACGAAATGGTAATTCGAATATGGTCATTGTATTTTACATCAATTTTCGTCTACGAATATGATTGTGAATTTCAACATCGCATGGTCATCAGATTCTACATCCAATTTCTATCCACAAATTTGTGGATTGTGTGCCATTTTTTCTGAATCAAGATGCAGGAAAGGTTCGGTTACGATGAAAAACTGAATATTGTCTCAAAAATAGAATATTTGCTTAGCTCTGTTAGTGTTCATATAATGATTATAGCATGTTGGAATGATGAACTAGAACATTTTTTCTCAATCATAAACCATGACTAATAATTGATTTCCGAGATATACCATATGAAGTCTAGGAGCTAGCTCACTGCATGTGAGCACTGACGTTCCCCCTGAGTTCGATTGATGAACATCACAACATACCTCTAATAATAGGAATACTGAAAAGAATCGGTCGCGTGATCCATATCGTGATAGTTTGGCCGATATATTAGATAATGTATAGAAATTATTGGGTATTCGTTTTACGCTTATCTCTCTAGTAGGTAATCCGATTTGAATGATGTATCCTTATTCTACCCGTTTTAGAAAGATCGATAACTTTTTTATCTCCCGAACAATTCCGATATATTGAAAAGTTCCCTGAGAAAATGATGATTTTCTTCACGTAAGATCTCCATAACTATTATATTTTTTGAAAGTTTTCAACTACACTGAGTTCGAAGTTTCACAATATCCCCAATATATCGAAATCATCGAAATGTTCGATCTATGTCATGTCTGACCTAAGTGTGATATAGGATATATTTGATGATGTTGCTGAGAAATTAATTTCAGTTTACGAAGATGTAAAAGAACAATCAGCTAAATCCACGGCTAGGTACTTTATGATAATTTTGCTAATCCAATAGTAATGGACTTTTTTCAACTTTGAAGATGAGTAGAGTCCCTTGAGTACTTATTGTATTCATTATGAACTCATCGCATTGACTGATAAAAAATGTATAGTGTGGGTTCAGCTACTTCATTGAGCACACATAACTTAAACATTTCCACATAGAGATTGTTTATCAAATCGTTAAATACCATGTTTTCATTAGAAACCACTACATAGTATACGCGAAGCATTTGGTCGTGCTAAGAGCTAGCACCACCGAACATAAACGTTTATGTTCGGTGCTAGCACCTACGTAGAAATTGGGGGAGGGGCTAGCAGCTACTCAGGAGTGGGGGATTAGCGTCGAGAGCTTACATAACCGGCATACCTCGCTTTCTCTCTTCAATCAAATATTTAAATCTCACGAGTTATGTCCTATATATGGTCTGAAAGCGAAAGCACGGTAAAGGACATGTAAATATCAACATGATTTGGCTATCGTACGTGTTCGTTAGTCCTGCTGAAATATTCAAAACTGAAATTTATCATGCGCCAACTGTCTAAAGGTGGGCGTTGTTCTTCGTGAATGCGAAGTTGTCAAATGTCATCCTTTTTTAATACTCCCATATGTAACGATTCGATAAATGATTTATACATATATTGCCCCGTTGGTATAGCTCCCTTTCTTCCTTTTGTTCAGCTAAATGAATGTATATAGCTAAATTCAAGTAATATCAGTTGAAATGAACCTTGTTGATACCAGGAAAAGGAGTCTGATTTCGATTCATACTTATTTCTGTCGAAGTGATAATCGTGTGTTCAAGTGTGTTGTTATTGTTGTATTTGTTAGCGATTGTTTTTTACAATATCTGATGATTTCAGCAGCATAAAATATCACATGACCTACTTCAGGCCTCTCATAATGAAGGGGGAAAAGTGTACCGCATTTGCAAAGTTTCCAGAGCAGAACGCCTACTTAAAAACCACTCAAAGCCTTCAAATATTATCCCGTTTTATTTTCTGAACGGATAAGTAGGAACAATGGAAGATAAAAATATGTATTATTAGTGTACCTGGACCAGGTTAATCTTTTAAAGTGAGGTAAATAGCATCATTCGAGATTTCTATGTGAACTCTCACATGATGGATGGAATATGGATGAAGAAGAAAATAGAACCCATAGAGAGTTAACCATAGACACGTGATTCAGGCTTTCGGCCTTCATCAGTACGGTGAAAAAGTCTAAATGATAAGCAATACTTGGTAGAAGACTAAAAAAGAAATCAATGTAGTCATCAAACAGGAACCAGCTGTACATTTGTGGTTTTGGGTAGTCCGCTCAACATTCCTTCCATCATGTTCGTGATCCTGGATTCGGGTGTAGCGCAGATAGCTATAGCTGCCCTGTGGTGACGTCAGTTTATTGCTATAGAATGCAAAGTCTGCTGACCGAAGCCACAAATGTGCGGCTGGCTTCTATAATATGTTGACTGTTGATTTGTTGTTTCGTCTCCTAGTGTGTGTTGCCTATCCTTGGCACTTTTTTCACCGTACTGATGAAAACCAATAGCCCGAAACACGTGGCTACGGTTAATTATCCATGTGGGCTATACATATATTACATTATATTCTTTTGCATATTTGCTTCTTGCTCGACAAATATTTTTTGTTGAACCCGTTAGGTTGGTCAATTGGAGTACCTATCCGCTATCCGCTTGAGTTGTAATCCACTGCTGGTTCAATATTGCTGTAACATTCTCTCATATCCTTCTTGAATTGCATCTAGATGAGAACTGACCATGTTAGTAAAGGGGCTATGAGAGATCCAGACCATTTTAGTAAAGGGGCTATGAGAGATCCAGAGCATTTCGGCCAATTCACGGTCCGTTCTGCAGATTTTCATCCACTTCAAGGCCATCCGTTCGAGACGTTTCCGTGATGATCCCGTGTTGATTCTAGCCCCAGTAGCTCCGTGAATAACCCCGGCCACTCAGCCCTGCCATTCGTATGGACAAAGAAAATGTCACAGGAACGTGACGGAAGCGTCAATGAATCAAAAACGTCACGGAATCATCACGGAAACGTGACGGGCGGATGACCTTGAAGTGGAGAAAAATCTGCAGAATGAACCTCGAATCTTCTTATAGGGATTAACATAGGAAGAATGGCCTAAAAGATCTGGATCTCTCCTATAGCTCCTCAATTCAGGTTTCCATATTGATTTCTTGTCACCAGTTGCATTTGCAAGAATTCTGTATCATCTCTAACAACAATTTCATTGTATACGTCTCTTAGGATATCAGACATCCCGTTTGCGATCAGCTTAAAGGATTTTTGTACTTTGTAGTTGCAGGTCCTCGGGAATTTCAGGCAAACGGCATGCCAACCATAATGGTACCGGTCAACCCCAATTATTCGGAGTATCCACTCATCTGCACAGGAGTGAAATCATACCGGTACCGACATAACAGTGGACACTCGCACGACATTGAGGGCTTGTTGCTGGTAGAGCTGATATTAGCATGAACATGTTTATGTGTGGAAAATTCAAAGAGAATAGGTATGGTGGTGTCATTCCAGATTTTCTTGAATATTTCAAAATCCACGAGAGGTCCTACTCTAGAATTCGTATGGCCATTCACTATAGTGAATGTGCATACTGATTCAATCAATTTACAGAGAGATCGGTATTCCATTTCCTCGTTGATGTAAATTGATCTGACTGATCACATTTCTATATTTGAATCTTTAGTAAGATCAAACATCTAACTATTTTCTAGCCACAGTTTTTCCATATATTTTTTTGGTTCTCGAGATACTCAACATATACACCTACTGAATTTTTGTTCTTCTTCATAGGTACCTACTTATTGTCTATGATGTGTCAGGATTATTATACTTCCACCTCATCTGTGTTGAGTAATATACCACAATAAGTATGTTCATGAACTACTTCAGCATAAGATAAGGTTTGATCATCTTCAATTTTTGCCCGAATCAAGTCATTTTACGAGAAATGAAGGAATTGCATCTGGAAATGATCAGCTTTCAGATCATATATGATGACTTAACGTAATGGTGAACATTCATTTTGTGGTCAATAACGGAAGAGAAATGAGGTAGAAGCTTGCGAAACGTGATAGTTATAATACTGACATTCTAAACAAGTATGCGATGGAGACACACCAAAATTTAGTATGTAAGATATCTCGAAAAATTATAAAAAAACTTTAATTAGAGAAAAGTTAGATAATTGGACTAGTAATTGATTGAAATATCAAAATATGATCATTGGCATACTCCGAAAAAGATTTTTCATCAAAGGGAATACCAAATACCTATCTCCCTATAAATTGATTGAAATGTTATGATATGATTCTTGTTATCGACGTTCATGATAATGAATTGCCCTACAAATTCTAGAGCAGTACCAGTCAAGGATTTTGGAATATTCAATAAAATCCTGAAATCAAAACATTATTCAATGCCTCCTCACGGCTCGACGGTGTATCTTTGTATTGAGGTAAAATGATTTCGATAGGCTTATTTAGGTCTCTAGTCCACCCCATAGAATTCATAGTACGTAGTTCTGGTACACCTTGTATTTGACCAAGATAGAAGTTGAAGTTGATGTATGTCAAAATATCACTCACCTCGTAATCCAGTGGTTTTATAATTCTGACTTCTCCTGTCGCTTGATCAACTTGTAACACGTCAGTTCCTTGGAGGTCGTAGTGCACTTGACTATTCTCTGGATCATTACCTTGCAGAGTGTAGATAACTGTACCCACGGGAGTATTTTCGGGAATCACTAAATTGTTCATATCCATTGTGAATAGAGGAGGTAAATTGGCCAGACATCCTGGAATAAAAAGATTTGTGACAAAACTTGTCATCACATTTTTGTGTGGAGAATTTGAAAGGTGAAAATTTTGTGAATGGAAGTTTCAAAAACTGTATATGTTTGTGCCATCATAAGCGATGTTTTCTACTGATAACTTGTACTCTTTAGTAATCCAGTGAATATCTGACGATTACAATAGCACTGATGATTATGGATCAACAGCCGAGACAGCGTCACGATAATTTCAATGATTTATTTACACGAAATACAAGAAATTCCCTTCGATTTTATTTAGTATTCTTTGAATAAATATTATTCAAAGAATCCATACTTACATGATTTGTAACAAGATTATACGCAGACATTAATAAAATAAGTATTTAGCTATAATATCAGAAATGAAACATATAGTTACAGCAGTTGTTGAGAATGTTCTCGACCAGTATCAATATACCTCTGACATCTGATGATGTGAATTTTTATGAGGAGGTTCAATTCTGGAAATCCTCTCATATCCGCTGGATTATTTTATTTTTTTTTTTTTTGGTTCGCTCGATCATATTTGGAAAAAACTAATGATACTAATGATACGTCAGATGAATCTATCTATCGACGATGAATCTGCTGATATGATTTCTTTAATAACTCGAGAGCTAAGAAATATATCGAAAAAATGAGAAATACATACAGTGGTATACTGAGTGTTTCGTAATATGTGGGACGCACTTCGAGAGGTGATAGGACGTCTCAAGAAAATGAAGAAGTTCTCATAAACAGAAGTCGTAGGCTTCGTCTGCGAGATACATGGTGTTGAAGTTGAAAATATTTGTTACTGAATTCGTAGATAATCGCTGAACAAAAAATCTTGATATTCAGGTGCATAACCCAGTATCTACCTGAGATTGAATAGGTCAGTTCTGACTCCGAGTGGCACCGTTAAGGGGTATTTATGTGTGATTTTTCAGAAATAAAAACATGTGTGAAGATACAATATTTTCGAGAAAAACCGAATAACCAAATTCAACACCAAAATTCGATATAGATCTCCGAGGATGTCGGATATTTCATTCAAGACATCTGTTCAGATTTATCTATAACCATGATAGATATGATTCTGTCATTGTGGCACAATGCCAGTCACATAACAGACTACATTCTGCCACCACGATCAGCCGAATAGGGTGAACATAAGAAATTCTAAAAAAAAATTCAATTTCAACGCCTTCCACGACATTTGTTCATGGGAACTCTTTTATTCTATTTTCATGGAAACTCTTTTATTTTATTGAGACGCCCTTTCACCTCTCGAAGTGCGTCCCACATATAACGAAACACCCTGTATCAAGGAAGATAATTTATCATCAGATCTAATTCATCAGTTAAGTTGACTTCGTTATGTAAATCCATATCTGAATATGAGTAGAATATTAATCCGAGTGTTTTATAGAGTAGCTTATTCAATTTCTACTCAGTTCTGCTTCACCTTGTATGTTTCTGTGGTGGATCAGAAAAGAATAATTACAACAAAAATTGGTTGAGTTGAGAAGGATTTTTGCATCATCAGTATAACAGAAACATCAAGTTCATTCCATTCTCCCCAGAAACCTCATTTCCATTTCATTCAACTGTGATTCATATCTATAATACATAATTGTTGGATGAATCACCAGTCTGACTAGGTTGATTCTCGATATTCCTACCCTTTTAGTTTCACGGTTTGTCCCAATCAATTGTTTGTTGATCCGTTGTTGATTCCAGGAATTTGTAGATTTTCACTTGTCTTTTGTGTTATATTGTCCGCAAGTATTTTTTCTTTGGATTCTCATGCTTTTCTCTTTCTGGTACATTTTCATATTGTGCTTCCTCACAAGTCCCTATTTTGTTGCTTCCATATTTCTCTTGAGGTTTCCTCACTTTTTTCTCTTATACTTCAGTCATAACTCTTTCTAGTTTTTTATCGATTCTTCCGTTAACTTTGAAATCACCGTATATTATTTCGTCTATCAATATCTTCATTTTTGTTTTTGTCTAATTCTTTTGTTCGGCATTCGTCTTTTCCATTCATAATCTCGTTTGCAATAATTCATGTAGTTTGGCAGCTTCCTCTTGCAGCCTATAGTAAAATATCTTTGAATTATTCCCACTTCTTTCTTCTCCTCCTTCATTCTCATTATCCTTCAAAATTCTCTTTATATAAAAAAGGTGAAGGTATGAAGATGAGAGTTCCGGACCAGTCCCTCTTCTCCAATCACACTTTTTCCCTTTCCGACTTCATTCAGAAAGAAAAATGACGTTTTCTACGTCTGCTCATCCCTACGACATTACGAATCTTTTGTCAACTCACTAGTTGTTATATTGAGTATGGAATAATAAATATGAGGCTTTGGTCATTATATTGTTTATAGTTGAAAAAAGTATCATACTCACTTATCCTTTGTCCGCGAAAGTTGAAGAGGTTTATATCATCAACAAAATAATGCCAATTTTGGAGAATTGTTCATAGAATGATTTGAAAGCTTCCACCACGCCTCTCGCCGTCGATTTCCGATAGGATTTCACTGCAGGTTGTTTAGGGAACTTTCTCCACCCATATAATGAATTCCAAAACCACATGATTTGATCGATCTGTTTGTGTGTTTTGAATCCCTGTTTATTGGACACAGACGCCAAATTGTGAGTGGGCCGTTTTATGTTCAACCCCTGAAAACGAATACAGCCTGGCCGCCTGAAACGATAACGAGAAATTCCCATTCACCGTGATCCCTTGCTTCGAAAGCCATTTTTTCCCTGGAATAGGTATATTTGAGCGTTCACGGTGGCTGACCTTTATATCCTCGCACTCCTCGCAGGATTCGTTCTGCTCAATAGTCCAGAATAACATATTATTCCCGTTCCAATGAAGCGGTGTAAATTCCTTGCCGTCCATCTCTCGAATGTGTGCTCCAAAATTACTCTTGCTTCTCATGCCACCTCAGCAGCGAATATGTGTCGGCAGCGGCAAACCGATATCGGCAAAATATTTGAATGGCATCGGTTGTGCCGACACGGCTTGATGTACCCTTATTTATTATGTTTGTTCATCATCCATCCCGTAATTGACCGTTATAGATATGTCACAATCGTGCCGCTGTCGATTCGACGCTGGAGACAAACTCCATTATACATATAAATAATCTCATATTGTAGTATCACAGGCTCGGTACCGAGACGCCATTTCATGGCCTGGAATCTGCATTAGGCTACACGAGAAGCCAAATTTCATCTGCACTGATGAGTGGATGTGGAGAAAATTCAAAGAGAACTGGAGGGACTGTGTGGAGCGCAGGCAAGCAAAATACTTGATAAAAACCCCTCAAAAAGAGAGAACGAGGTGGCTGCTGAACCGAAGGCGACAAGGAGTCAATCTCCTAATTGGAGTCCTGACCGGTCACCGCAAATTCAGCAGACACCTCTAGATAATGGGTATAGTAGAGAACCCAACATGCCAGAGATGTGGGGAAGAAGGAGATACATCTCTTCACTTCCTAGGAGAATGTGAAGCGTTCAGCAGACTAAGATTCAACATCTTTGGAACTGAAACGCTTCAGAGAGAGGAGATGAACTCTCTCGAGTGGGCAGACACCCTAGATTGCCTCGCTTGTGCCTCCCCACCATCACTACTACTACTACTATCACAGCACAATGACAATATATCTCCAGAATCCTTTTATTCATTTTTTATGGTTGATCACAGCAAATACTATCGTCTGACATAAAGAATGATAATATGTTATACTCGATGTTATATTTAACAATAATTATACTCGTTGTCTAGAAATTTATTTTTGTGGTATTTGTTCATCACCTATTATATAACAATGATGCACCAATGCGAAGTTTAGTTCTTCATTCATATATTCGACAAATCTTTGATTCACAGTGATAGATCAATAACTGGAAAAGTAATGTGGTTGTAACAATATCAGCAATATCTACGTCGAAAAGAAATATTCTCAGATAAATTATGAACATACAAAAATGGATATATATTTATATAAAGCAATACATTGAGATTTCGCATTCTCTATGTGATGAGAATATTTACTCTTTCTCAGTTGATTCATATAGCCAGGAAAGTAGTTGTTTTCTATTGAATCAACTGAGAAAGAGTAAATATTCTCATCACATAGAGAATGCGAATTCTCAATGTATTGCTTTATATAAATATATATCAATTTTTGTATGTTCATAATTTATCTGAGAATATTCCTTTTCAACACTTTCATACCCAATCAGGGGGTTCAAACTTGAACGATGGAAACTTGTGATTTTTATAGACCTCTAATAGCAGATTCGTGATAGAGTCTCAATTCAGAATTTCTTTCCACGCCCTGTATGATGAATGTCAATTTATCATACACCCAAAAGCAATATCTACATCATCAAATCAACTAAGTTATGAAAGGTAAATCGTTTGACCAAATATCAAATATGATGAAAGCATTTTACTATTTCAATTCTTGACTGATGAATTCATAATGAAATCTTTCAAGTTCCGCAGTTAGCCTGGATGGACTTCTACCAAAGATTATTAAACACTGTGTTCATGGAATTCAGTGAGTCGATGAGCATGTGTGTAGATACCACTCGGGTCCTGAAATCAGTACTCTGAATGATTCCCATATTACTCCACTATTGGTTGAAATGTAGCAGGGAATATATGTTGTCACTAGATAATGGCGAAGAATCGTCACAAGCTTGCTTCGATTGTCTTGCACGTCTGTAGAAGAGGATGTTCACGAATCAAGTTCTAGAAACATTCTTTGGATATCGAGAGATAATTCAGCAAGTTGTTTCTTCCTCAGTGATAGGTGTTGGGTGATATAGGTGAAGTTTGATGAGATAAGAAGTTCCCAGTTTCAGAAATCCCACCTCGCATTTCGGGTGTCATAGAAATTTCAAGCAGCGTTATGGGTATCAATTTCAGCCGTTGATCGTAATCGTTGACTGACTGAACACAACAGATGTGTGTAACATCG